CTGCTGTAGGCGGGACGAGACTGGAAGTCTGATGCATCAAGCCACCCTGCTGCTGTAGGCGGGCCGAGACTGGAAGTCTGATGCATCAAGCCACCCTGCTGCTGTAGGTGGGCCTAGGCTGGAAGTCTGATGCATCAAGCGATCCTGCTGCTGTAGTTGGGCCTAGGCTGGAAGTCTGATGCATCAAGCGATCCTGCTGCTGTAGGTGGGCCTAGGCTGGAAGTCTGATGCATCAAGCCATCCTGCTGCTGTAGTTGGGCCTAGGCTGGAAGTCTGATGCATCAAGCGATCCTGCTGCTGTAGGCGGGCCCGGTCTGGTACAGCCTACTCAATCAAGCCATCCTGCTGCTGTAGTTGGGCCTAGGCTGGAAGTCTGATGCATCAAGCCATCCTGCTGCTGTAGTTGGGCCTAGGCTGGAAGTCTGATGCATCAAGCCATCCTGCTGCTGTAGGCGGGCCCGGTCTGGTAGAGCCTACTCAGTCATGCAACCCTGCTGTGTAGGTGGGCCGAGACTGGAAGTCTGTTGCATCAAGCCACCCTGCTGCTGTAGGTGCCGAGACTGGAAGTCTGATGCATCAATCGATGCTGCTGCTGTAGGCGGGCCCGGTCTGATAGAGCCTACTCAATCAAGCCATCCTGCTGCTGTAGGCGGGCCCGGTCTAGTACAGCCTACTCAATCAAGCCATCCTGCTGCTGTAGATCGGCCGAGACTGGAAGTCTGATGCATCAAGCCATCCTGCTGCTGTAGGCGGGCCGGGACTGGAAGTCTCATGCATCCAGCCACACTGCTGCTATAGGCTGGCCGGGACTGGAAGTCTGATGCATCAAATTTTTAAGCCATCCTGCTGCTGTAGGTCGACCGATACAGGAAGTCCGATGCATCAAGGCATCCTGCTGCTGTAGGCGGGCCCGGTCTGGTACAGCCTACTCAATCAAGCCATCCTGATGCTGTAGGCGGGCCCGGTCTAGCACAGCCTACTCAATCAAGCCATCCTGCTGCTGTAGGTGGGTCGGGACTGGAAGTCTGATGCATCAAGCCACCCTGCTGCTGAAGGTGGGCCGGGACTGGAAGTCTGATGCATCAAATTTTTAAGCCATCCTGCTGCTGTAGGTCGACCGAGACTGGAAGTCCGATGCATCAAGGCATCCTGCTGCTGTAGGCGGGCCCGGTCTGGTACAGCCTACTCAATCAAGCCATCCTGATGCTGTAGGTGGGTCGGGACTGGAAGTCTGATGCATCAAGCCACCCTGCTGCTGTACGCGGGCCGGGACTGGTGGAGTCTGATGAATCAAGCCACTCTGTGAGCGTTTCATTTAGTTCTTACAATGATGTACGTATACGGTACATAGCAGTAACATACAGTAACATACAGTCACATCACATTTTGTGCTCAATTTGGTCTTTGTATGTACCTTCTTCACTGTATGATCAGTCAGTGCATGCCGGGGCATCGGTCTACTGATTCAGCTCATTCACAGCATGCAGGGATTTCCGTCTACCAATTAAGCTCATTCACAGCATGCGGGGGTTTCCGTCTACTGATTCAGTTCATTCACAGTATGCGGGGATTTCCGTCTACTGATTCAGCTCATTCACAGCATGCCATGGCATCCGCCTACTGATTCAGCTTGAAGATTCGGGATAGAATAGATCTTCAGCAATCCGTGCATGCCGTAAAAAGCGACTATGCTTGTCGTAAGAGGCGACTGACTGGATCGGGTGGTCAGGCTCGCTGACCTATTGGTTGATGCATGTCATCGTATCCCAATTGCGTGGGGCGGTGCTCATGATTTCAATCACTGGATTGTCTGGTCCAAACTCGATCATTTACTGTCGTCGTTTTGCTGGAATATTGCTGAGTTCGACGTTAAACAACTAACATTCATGTACCAGCATCTTTCCTCGGGAACCACAATGTTCAGATGCTCCCGAAAACGACAGCGAACCCGTGAAGCTGTCACTGCAACAAACGCAACAGGCCGAGTAAGCTACCATTCCAAACTTGTAATCTGTACCTTCACTCCTTCCTTGGGCAGGAGCTGCTAAGCCATACTCGAGGCTAATGGTAGCGAGAGGAGATAATAAGTTCTCAAGACGCCTGTGCCTTTCTCCTTTATTTGGGACACTTCTGTCCTGTCACCCCTCTTTGAGTGTTTAGATGTGTAGTAAATATGTGTTACTTCCCACGCCAATATCTCGCTATGTTTTTGGAGCATATGTTTCTTTCTTTTTTGCGATATGCCGAATATTGACCTTGATTTCACCTTCACATTTTCACATCTCCTAAATGCCCCTGGTCGCATTCACGGCCTTGTAAACATCTCGCCTGAAACAGATAATGGTCACGATGACCTCGTAGCTCAATTGTTATGTCCGGTTTGTGTTAAAACAGTTAAAAAATATAACTATTTCGAAAGCTTAAATACCTTATATATACGTAACGTCATCAAAATTAAGAATTAACTTTACTGGGTTTTTTTTTAAATTTTAAATACCTGAAAAGATATATTATAACTAAATAAATGTTAAAACAATTATATTTCAGAAGGCACATGCACATGGAACTTTTTAAATGTGTGGTTTCATATCATATCATCGAAAAGTCAGTTGATATTAGAAAAGCGGTTTTATTTCCTCAACGAAAAGGGAAACGTCTTTTTCACCAAACCATTTTTCAAATTACATTTTTTGTTGTCCTTTTATGAAAATGTGAATTTACAGAAAGCACAGAAGGCTCACTGTTCAAAATGTTACTGTTGTATGTTTGTTGCAGTGTATAATTAATTTACTTGGTGTGTGATACTGGATTATCGCCATACTTCAAGTGTACCATGGGTACTCGTCAGGGGTGCATCTTAAGCCATCAGATCTTCATCATATTTATTAATCTGTTAGTTTCAATGTTGGAGGAAGAAGGTGGTAGAGGTGTGTTTATATCTACTCATATCCCTGATGTATTTGCTCTGTTATTTGCTGATGATGAGTCAACCGTCTCTGATACTGCTTTACCGCTTCAAAAGAAATAAACTCCCTGGAGAAATTCTGTGATGATACTGGCATAAAAGTCAATCTGAATAAGACTAAAATAATAGTATTTCGGAATGGAGGTCCTCTTCGCAGTTATGAAAAGTGGTTTTTGAATGGTCAACAGATAGAAGCTGTCAACATGTACAGATATTTAGGAATCATTTTCTCACCAAAGTTATCTTGGACCAAGGCCCAAGCATGTCTAGCAGCCCGGCAAGGAAAGCACTTCTATCAATATATAATTATCAAAAACAATTTGGATACATTAATCACCATGATCTTTTTAATATTTTTGAAGCTATGATTTCACCAATCCTATGTTATGGATCAGAGATCTGGGGAACCAGCTACTGTAACATTATTGAGAGTGCCCATAACAGATTCTGCAAATCCTTTTTGAAAGTAAATAAGTTCACCAATAACAACATCGTCCTAGGAGACTGTGGTAGGATCCCCCTACTATATAGCAGTCAACTACTGGTGCAGACTAATTCAGATGGAACAACACAGGCTACCCATCAAAGCTTATTATATACTAAAATCTCTTGATGATAATGGTAAACTTACATGGGCATCACATATTAGAATGATTTTATTCCAGTTTGGATTTGGTTTTGTTTGGCTAAGCCAAGACATTTGTAATATTCAACATTTCATGACAGATTTTAAGACTGCCTCACTCAAAATTGGCACTTTTCCCTGACATCATCAACGAAATGCAATTACGACTCACAGTTCAAGTCATTACTAATTGTGGAATCATATATTACTTGTGATATGTCTTCTTACCAACGTAGACTTATAGCCATGTTCTAGTGTAATAATTTCAGACTTGCTGTTGAATTGGGGCGTCTCAACAACATCCCATATAATGAAGGTGTCTGCACTTTCTGTTTTTCAAAGGGACATAACCATGTTGAAGATGAATGCCATGTTCTTATTATTTGTGACCAGTATTCTAGAGCAAGAAGAAACTCTTTTCCCGAGCGTCTCGTTGCCCCTCCCTCTATTGAGAATTTTATAAGACTTATGTCAGCTGAAAACGAACAAATTATAAAAAGCTTAGGTAAATTTCTCTTCCAAGTCATGAACATTCGAACAGAAACACAGTGTTAAACGGTAAATCACTATTAAATCTACTCAGCATGCAAATATATATACAGTATATTTCCATTGTATTATGGGCCGGTGGCCTGAAGTACCGAATAAATTTGTCTGTCTATCTGTCTGTCTGAATTTATTTGTTTCATATTTATCAACTAGTGTTCAATATTTAAGAAGCATATAACATGTCAAGTGACGTTTCATATTTTTAACTGTGACTACATCTACAGGAAAGCTAAAATGCCCTGTCACTATTTTTCCTTTTGTAGTACTCCAACCAGAACAAATGTAGATATTCTGATCCTTCTGAAGATTTCAACCAATGGCAGACTTTCCTGCTAGGCACCAGACCTTTAACTACCTGCTGTCCGTCAACTGTGCGGGGAATTTGTCACTAGACGAGGTGGACATAGATGTATACTAGCCGAAACAAAGAACGATTTCGCAACAGAGTAATATATGGATGTACATGAAACATGATCTCCCAATGGTTGTTTGTTTGTTTGTTGTTTAATGCAGCACTCAGCAATATTCCAGCTATATGACGGCGGTCTGTAAATAATCAAGTCTGGGCCAGACAATTCAGTGATTAATATCATGAGCATCGATCCACACAATTGGGATTGATGACATGCATCAACCAAGTCAGCGAGCCTGACCACCCGATCCCATTAGTTGCCTCTTACGACCATCATAATTGACTTTTACGGCAAGTATGGGTTGCAGAAAACATTTTCTACCCCGGATCTTCACAGGTCCATCAAAAAGGTAAATGATCTGCAGGATTATATGGAACACCAATGAATTAAAGTAGTTCGATTACAAACATTTTGAAAGACAAATAATCAGATAATCACAAAAAGCAAATAGCTTTAAAGTTTGTTTATTTACAAAACATTCATAAAGTATCTACAACTTAGCAGTCCAAGATGAGGCTAAGTGTCCTCAACCATCTCAGCATCTTCTGGGTGAGATTCCTTGTATTCCAACATGCTGTGCTGAAGCAACCAATTATTTCATGTCAGGATTTTAAGTAGTTGACACTGACTTTTGTGAGAAAGGTGGGTTTTAACGCCCCTCAACAGTATTCCAGTTATATCATGGCGTGTCAGCTTAATGTGGGAGGAAAGCCCAAAGTGAACTTGGTCTCAGACATTTTCCACTTTACCACCCAAGCTGTTGTATGGTGCTGACAAACCTTGAAACATTATCGGTGGGTACCAGGATTCGAACCTATGATCATAGCTTTCTGGCTTGCTCTAAGGTCACACCTGTGCACAGTGAATTATGGCACCTTAGGCGACAGGGCCACCGTCCCCACTTTTGTGAAGAAATACAATATTAACATAAAGATTAAAAAAATCAGTATTTCACTTAAGTGAGATAACAAATTAGAATATCTTTTTACTTATAAAAACAAATGTTTTCCTCATCCTTTTTTGATACATTAGTTCATGTTGTTACTATAAATCCAAAAAACAACAACAGAAAAAAATACTAGTACAGATTCTGATTCTGATTCTGCAATAATGAAGCAGCATCAGTGATGCTATGACTAGGATAAAGACTGTTGAACTTGTAATAGCAGTTTTGATGATGGGTTGTATTGTGCAAGTACCCATAGTGAACAATCAGTAGCTTTATTCTTTGTCGAAAGACGCTTATGAATTTCCAAAGAGTTAACATGGAAACACCGGAAATTAAAAAAATAAAAATTCAAAAATATGAACAGGCAATAGTTGTTGTCATTGCACATAGTTCATGTAAAAGCTTTCTTTAGGGTTAGTTTGAGGGTTATGGCTTGGAAACGAAGCTTAGAGTTGTTTGGGTCAAAGTCCAAATTGTTTCTATGGAAACATAAGAAAAGAAATTAAAGACAAAATTCAAAATTGCAAACGGCACCAGTACGCTGATAAGAAACGCACATGCTAAGTTTCATTTGGTAGCCCAAAAGTTGATGCAAGTAAGATCCAGCCTCATAGAACATATGTACTTAGCATAACTGAATTCCATTCATTCATACTCAAGTAATCTTGTACCAAGCTATTTTGGCGCCTAGTTCATACTGAGTGACCTTGAGTGACCTTGACTTCCAATGTCTTCCAACTGTATGTCACTAAACTCCCCAGGAGTATATAGTAGGTATAACAGACATGATGTCTCTGACTGATTGCAGCAGTGGCAACAAGGTTCAAATGTGAGCAAACAACTAAAGCAGTCCTTTGGAAGACAGACTTATTCGGGGGCACGGGTGGCCCAGTCGTCTAAGGCGCCGCAATTCGCTATGCAGAGTTGCGTCCCTTGGGCACGCCAGAAACCTATGATTGTGGGTTCGAATCCCGGTTCGCCCCGATTATGTTTCTAGGTTTGTCAGCACCATACCCGTGCTCGTGGGTTTCACCGAAGTGGTAAACGTCTGAGACCTGCATCACTTTGGGCTTTCCTCCCACATTAAGCTGACACGCCGTGCTATAACTGGAATAATGTTAAAAGCGGTGTTAAATCCTACTCACTCAATCACTCACAGACTTATTCACTAGTACACATGGTATCAGTATTTAATGAACATACTGAGGACCCTAAAAATATGCCCTGAGGACCCTTGAGATTGATAAACTTGGTAATGCCCCCTTCACATACACAGATTTTTCTTATGAGTCCTTACGGATCGCACAAATTCACGTATCCTTACGATTTGGCCACATTTACAACCGATTTAAGAGTTGTTATGAGCTATTACGAGCTATTTACGGTTTATTACCATGTATTTACGGCAAAATTCCACAAGTTGTCACTGATAAATACGAGCAACTTACGGGCATTTTACCAGCTTTTTACGGACTGTTATGAGTATTTAACGGAATGTTACTATTCATCGAAGCTTTTATGTGTTAGTTACGACCTGTTTACGTGTTGTTACAAATCGTTTCGAGTTAGTTACAAGTACTTATGAGTCTTTACGATTTTTTGCCAAAAAATATATAGATCCTCCAAATCTCAATGCATCATCATTTGACAACTGACATCCAGAGAGACAACATGGCATATGAGAGAAACGGATTGCAGTAATATCAACAATTTCTACAATTGCTCCTACAACTAGCCCAGAAGGAAGAAGACGAGGCCCAGCAGCTACCAGATATTCCTCAACCGATTTGTTGAAGAGAACATATGCAGAGATGTGACTTCTATGATCTCTTAATACAACTGAAAATGAAGTTTTCGAATTTGCAGCTTTTATACCTTTCCCCAAATCGTAAACAATAGGTAAGAATACTTAAAGTATACGTATCTATTCGCAAAGTGCTCGCAACTACACGTAAAGTGCTCGTAATAACTCGTAACAATCCATAAAGCCATCGTAACATGACCCGAATAAAATCGTAAACAACACATTAGCACTCGTAATAATCCGTAAACAAATCATAAAGTAACCGTAACAAATCGTACAAATAACTGTTACGAGTCATTTACGGATTCTTGCGAGCTGTTTACGGATGGTTGCGTGTTGTTGCGAGCGGTTTACGATACTTACGGATTGTTACGAGTTATTTACGAAAGAATCATTCCGTGGACAATCGTAAGATGATTTTTGACATGTCAAAAAATTTGCCTCTCCTTTCACGGATCCTTAAGAGTGTCTGCGAGTTGTTACAAGTTGTGACGAGATATTTACGGATACCAGCGAGTTATTTACGGATGCTTGCGATTGACTACGAGTTGGCGATCCGTAAGGACTCGTTAGAAAAATCCATGTATGTGAAGGGGACCTAAAACACCCAGAAGTGGAAAATCTATTCTGATCTAAATGGCAGACAGGGGCTATTCTAATTTTGTCACAAGGTTTTACCTCAAACGTTTTCTGTACATGTTGACACAACTTCTTCAAATCCTCCAGGCCTTTTTTCAAAACTTCAGTTGCTGGCTTTCCTAAAAACAGAAACCCTTACGCGTCATATCAAATTCATATATATCCATGAAAAGGACAAATTTGGAAAAACATGAAAACACCAGATGGTAGACAGAGTGAAATTTCATCATGTACACAAATTACAGCTTATGAAATTGGCACTAGTTCTATAGTCCTTGCCAAACTACCCAATAGTTAAGGGAGCATAAGGACAAGGACTAGTAGAAATTTACCCTGTTTAAGTGTTTCGCTACAGATTTCATATAGGACTAGTAGACTAAAACTGTAAGTTTCTATTGCTGAAATGACATTCTACGAAGTCTCTGAATACACACCAATTTAGGAATTCATAACGGATTATCAACCTCTGGGGACGTCATCTCATCTAATCTATCTATAAAACTTTTAAGTAAGACCTGCTTTGAGGTTAAACTGTTAAAACTACACTAATAACTTTGCTTCTAATGCTGATTTTTGACAAGATTAAAGTCAAGATTTATTCACATGAAAATTCCATGACGTGAATTGAACCTGCAACCACTTCTTTCATGTTTAGTATTGTTCCCCTGTGTTTTTCACCACTTAGCCACTGGGGCAGGTGATCACTGTGCACATGGTTGGTTACAGCATGCGATGCACACTGGTTGGAGCACATGCAATGCACGCAATAAAAACGGGCACAGATATGAAATAAATACAACCTATTTGATCAAATGTATTATAGCTAAAATGGATAGAATTATCATTAAACTGAGCGGCCACTGTTCCATGATAATGCCCTCATATTGCTTGACGACGGGCCATTATCATGCCCGTTGTTAGGTGACGTCATAGGATAGGGATAGGTGACGTCATGTTCAATAGTGATGTCATCTGGTTTGTTCTATGACGTTTCCATATTTGTGAAAATGGGTCAGTGACATTCTTGTTGATTGCAGATAATGTTTCTGAACCGATATCTTTGTTTCTTTTTATTTGATAATAAATAATTCGATCCATTTTAGCTATAATAACAGTAATGCTATTTTTCAGGGCATTATCATTTGCAGAAGCCCTCAGACTTTTCAGCTGTCCTCCTTTATCGGGCAGTAAATGGAAGACCTTGGACTTCTGCAAATGATAATGCCCTGAAAAATAGCATTAGCCTTATATCAATTTAAGACCATATCAGTGCATAAGTAAGAGAAAACACTCTTTGGTTTTGATTGACAATTTAACCACTTGGGAACATTTTTCAAAAGCATCTTTATCCCCCAAAAGTCTTTTCATTTTCACCATGCTCTTCTCTTAGTGCTAGTGTTGAGAGTTGTAAAGAAAAGCTTACGGCAGTCACTTCCCTTCTTTCATTATGTTACTGATGAAACGGCGAGGTTATATTTTTGAAATGGGAAATTTGTTCATTTTTTTCAGAGTGGATGACAAAAACTACTCAAAACAAGTTAACATGGTTAAGGAACACCCGATTCTTTCATATTACTATAGCTTGTTTTTTTGTCATTCCATGACAGATTTTCTAAAGTAATATGAAACAATCAGGTGATCCGTAACTTTTTTTTAGTAATATATTCAAACAGTGAAACGGTTGGATATAAGAAAGAATATTAATAGAAACATTAGCAGGACCAGTTGGCAATGCTTCAGACGAGCTAAAAAATAATATATCAACAGCCTTACAATATGTCAAACGAGGCAAGTTTAACTGACACGCACACAAGGCTACATATTCACATAACTTTTTCAAAAGCAAAAGAATCATCTGAATATCTTTTTCCTTATCAACTGAACAGAAATGTCCACAAACAAATCTGAAAACCAAGGAACAAAAGCAATCATCCCATAATGATGTCTTACAATCATTCATCATCATGCTACTGAACACTCACCATTAGTCTGGATTCGGAAGTTGATCTTGGTCTCGGATGGATGAGGTATACTGTATCCACAGAACTGTACGTCGGCACTGCGGTACGAGGAACAAACGTACATTAACTGTGTAACTAAACAACAGTTGGTGTATCAGGCCTCAAAGTTTAAATTTTTACCAAGTAACCATATGGCTACAAGTATTTTATTCCAGGTAGCCAGTGGTCAAATCAAGAAGTCAAGCCAATATTGTAGGTAACCAAAGGGATTTGAAATTATCTTATATCAAATAACTATTTCATGTACAAGTCATAGCAAACTACTTGAGTTTTGTTTTTTGTGACTCGAAAAACGATGCAATTTATGTTACTAGATCATATAGGTATACCCTTGCTTATCCAATTAACTATCAACTAAAATAAAATAGTAATTACCGTATTTGACATAATAAGCGCCCCGCTCTAATAAGCAATTAAGGGCGATATTTGCTAATGTATTGGCAAGTGAACAATCCCAATTAGCACCCCTGCCGATTGATCAATGTACAAAAGACTTATGTATTCGCGTATCATACGCTCTTGTGTGTTATATGCACCCTTAATGATGGGCAATTAAATTCTGGAAAAATATATCTGTCGTATATAAACAGCATAGACCATGAAATTGACCTTTCAACTCTCTTTTTTTCACCAAAATAATATTCTAATAAGCATAAGAGCCCCCTATTTCTAATTTTGAGAGTGCTCTGGGCGCTTATTACGTCGAATATGGTACATCAATATTTATGCATTTCGGTTGATTGTTGACTTTAGGAGGAATTATTTGCGAGTACAATTAGTAGCAGACATGTTTATTTTTTTGTCTACATATGTGTAGCAATAGAATTTAGTCGCCACAAGATATTTTTCAAGGTAGTCATTTGGCTACCTATGAATTTTAGACAGAAGACAAACTGAAATTTAGGTCGCAACTTTGAGGCCTGCTGTAAACTGCTTTATGCCGGAATCAACACTTTCCAGTTATATGAATGTGGTCTTGACTAGGAAAACCTGTGGTTGATAGCATGAGCAACAATCTAGGTCTTCTGGGCTTGATGATGCTATCAGCAGGATCAGCCAGGTCACACTTTCTGATCACCTGGGGCGGTTGGGTAGCCACTTGGTTCGTGGAGGCCCTGGTTCGGTTCCCCACTTGGGTACAATGTGTGAAGCCCATTGCTGGTGTCTCCCACTTTGATTTTGCTAAAGTGGCGTAAAATCATACTTACTCACTCTAATCACCCGATCCATATTTTGGTAGGCTTAAGCAGCTCTCACACTTTGCCGAGGTGGTTGCCGAGCTCTCCCGAGCCTAACTCCGTTAGGATTCGGGAAGAGACTACATATATACGTGTATCATACGAGTGTGTTACGTGTCCAATAGGAGTCCAATAGATGTCTATTAAGAGTTGCATATGAGCACAACGAGCTGTACGACTTTGGTACGACTTTGGTACGAGGTGGCTACGAGCTGCTAAATAATTCGGCGGGAATTACACTCGTATAGCTCGTATTAGACTTGTTCAACTTGGCAATAAATTTTGCAGACGATCCTCATACGAGTTCTGTACGAGCACCACAAGGTTGCCCTAAGGGTACTATGAGTAGGATGAGTGTGTTATGAGTTTGTTACAAGTTTCTTGGGAGTTGGCTGGCGGCCCGACTGTTTTGAGCAGTTCCAAAACTCTGGTAGATCAGAACGAGGTATCCCAAGTTACCCTGAGTTTAGTACGACCTCGCTACGAGCTCCATACGAGTACCCCCCCGAGTCAGCTTGGGTCCATACTCAGGACAAGCATCAGGTGCTTGGGACATATTCTGACCACAATCCACAGGCTTGTTGAGACCGCCTCCGTGGTCTAGTGGTAGATGGTCCACCCAAGAGCGGAAATGGTTTCGTTATACAAGGTCGTCGCCTATGGTAGTCACCATTTTTGTGACGCAAAAACGAGATAAGAACATCGATCTGATTGGATATCACGTTTTCACTACAATGGGCACAACTTGTGATCTAGGAGAGGTGGCGCCAGGGTTGAGCTGAGAAAAGTGACCTTGATGTGGCAAGGGTAGAAACTGGGCTTTGATATAGGCTAGTGGGCATGCTTGCCTCGAGAAGATGACAAATATCATGAAGAACCAACTTCATGTAGATTACCGCTTTTAGCAATATTCCAGCAGTACCACGGCGAGGGACACCAGAAATGAGCTTCACTCATTGTACCCATGTGGGGAATCAAACCTGGGTCTTCTGCATGACGAGTAAATGCTTTACCCACTAAGCTACCCCACCGCCCCTCAAGCTAATGTGACATTGGGTCAGCATATAAACAGATGCAAATTAGAAACAGCATTTCAAGCAAAGACATGTTTAAATTCAATAGTTAAAAATACAGTACCAGTAAAGTAGTTAAAACGAACTTAAAGGGATCACTAATTTTAGTTCGTAATAACCGTGGTTCGTTACAAGCACATGTACAGCATATATATACAACAAATGGCCAGGAGTAAATAATAAGTTTGTTATAAACATGTCCGTTATAAACGTAGTTTACTGTACCCAAATAGACACTACACAAGGGAGTTGAATACCTATTTAAAACCAAAATGCAATTATCAATACCCATGATGCTTCACATGCTGGTTAATATTCAATGTCTCCATGAATCATCTTGAGCCGTGCGTACTAACCTTTTCATCAGTATGTATCGGAGGGAGTTTCCCAGGGTGTGGTCCTCATTGTGCATCACAAATGTGCGGCATGTCTCGTCATCTTCCTCCCCTGTCTGGATCTGGAGGTAAAGCTTCTGATGCAGGGATGTGGATGTTAGAGGTGTAACGATACAGTGAGGTCATGAGTGAGGTCATGAGTGAGTGAGTGAGTATGGTTTTACGCCGTTTTTAGCAATATTCCAGCAATATCACGGCGGAGGACACCATAAATGGGCTTCACACATTGTACCCATGTCGGGAATCGAACCCGGGTCTTCGGCGTGACGAGTGAACGCTTTAAACACTAGGCTACCCGACTGCCCCAGCGAGGTCATGATACAATATGTATCTCAATACTATGGTTGCGATACAGTACTTGTACATATATAATTCAAAAGTTGATATTCCTTCTTTTTGCAAGTTTTGCGTTTGAATCACAACCCTGAATCATTTGTTTTTAAATTTCGGAGATTGAAGTTGATATATTGTAGGGCAGAAAGACACAGGCAAGAGGGGACTGCGATTTTGTTTGTTTGTTAAAGTTGCATTGTGTAAAAACCTGTGCATTAAAACAGACATTTATGCAGATTCTGTAATATTTCCCTGCTGGCTATGAATAGCATAACATTTACAGTCCCCTGTGACTATGCTTGTAAGAGGCGACTAACAGGATTGGGTGGTCAGGCTTGCTGACTTGGTTGAAGCATGTCATCAATCCCAATGGCGTGGTTGGCTGCTCATGATATCAATCACTGGATTTTCTGATCCAGACTCGATTATTTACAAAGCGCCTTCATATAGCGGGATTATTGCTGAGTGCGGTGTCAAACAACAAACCAATCAACCAAACAAACCGTCCAGGATCACCTTTCCAACAGGATTGCCACGCCCCTTTGTTGTCTTACATTATTACATTATTGCTGAGCAACGTTATTTGTGGTTTTAAACTAGTGTATTCAACATGACTCCTCTTAAATTAACTTTGGTGTATGATACACTTTAAGTGAATGTAACAGCATTCCACAAAATATGATGGCTCGAAAAATCAATAAATTATACTATTTAAGCGATGTCCAGATGCGACCACAATGATGAACAAAAGTGGAAAAGGGAATACGTTCTTGGACTTTTTTTAAAATAATCAATAAAAGATCTTCTTCACATTTCAAAATCGTCACGATATGGCTGAAATACTGCTGATGTAACGTTAAATCTTAACTCACTCACATTTCAAAATATAAGATTATATTTTTATTGTACATATCGATATATAAATTAATATAACTGAAAGCATGATTTATACAATAAGATGGAAATGAAATCTTTATCTGCAAATATATATATCAGAACAAATAATTCTATTTAGAGGTGAGATCCGTGAAGATCCAGGGTAGGATAGGTCTTCAGCAACCCATGCTTGCTGTAAAAGGCGACTATGATTGTCGTAAGAGGCGACTAATGGGATCGGGTGGTCAGGCGCGCTGACTTAGCTTATGAATGTCATGGTTACCCCATGGTGTGGATCCGTGCTCATGATGGCAAACACTGGATTGTCTGGTCCAGACTCGATTAATTTACAGACAGCCATCATACAGCTGGAATATTGCCGAGTGCAGCGTTTAACAACAAACAAACTATTTAGAAGTGAAGCGAAATGGGGTTTTAAAGTTGAGTTCAAGATTTATAGCACTTACATAGCGATGTGCATGCACACGTGTGTGTGTGGCTGCTTGTACTAGTCTGGACTTAATGCTAGATTTAAAGAGCTAGACCACTGAGATACCATGCCGCAGTTTAGAAATCACTCAGATTGATTGTTTACCGAATCTGTTCGATCAATGTATCAGTCTGTGCCAGCTACTTATTACTAAGTGTCAGAAATATAAGACATGTTAAGGATGAAATGTATATATCAATGTCTGCACTCCATTCTAACCTGTTGCAATGTATTTTGCACTTTTCAAAAAATGAACATATGAAGTGTTCAACAACTGCCTCACTGCTGTACAGCTGACGTGTCCAGGAACTACCGAAGCTGTCGTCAAATTAATAGTATCCAGGTCCAGGCTGAACAAGACGTTCTTTGTCTGTTGGTCAATTTTGAAACCACCCACAGTTGTCTCCCTTGGTATCAGCGATTTGGATCAATTTTGACAATAAGTTAGTGAATTGTATTGCAATGATTGATATGTGTCTGGGTACTGCCGCCACCGCCCTATTGCTTTTAAATTTAAGACATTATTTGTTTTTCACCTTTCCTTGTTTAGGGTAGGCAATATCGATAACTAAGATATCAAAAAAAGCTTTCCCCAACGTAAAATATCAAATAGCATATAAGCTTTAGTCATACTCATACAATAGTACTTCAACACTCTCAGACTATTTCATGTTGTTTAATTTTCTAAAAACATAGTAAATCACTGAGTAAAAAATTTAAAATGAACATGCTTAATCTTGGAATTTTTTTTAATTGTTTGTTGTTTAAAAGCCACACTCCAGCACTCAGCATTGTTCCAGCAAAACGACAGCCACCTGTGATATTTGATTCTGATAATCCGGGTACGCACGCCAAGGTACTTGACAGCAGAGCCCATAAAAAGTGGACATCAAGAAAGATCGACATATCGCCATTATCGGACACTGTTGGGTCGCGATGTAAACAGTTTGGCAGCACTTTGCAATCACCTGATCATCATTTGCCGGTCTGTACGACAAGCATGATACACGCAATATTACATATTATATTAGGATTTCTAATATACACAGAAATTCATGGAATATCAACAGAATCGAGGAGCGACGTGCAGGTCAACAAACTTCTCAACGATTCAAAATGGATCAAACTGATTATGTCATTGTGGGAACAGTTGTGTTTCTATTCCAATTACTCATTTGCTACACACATAACTGACTTACGACTTCGAGTAATGGTTTCTTTTGGGGCGCTTCTGTCATTCTAGTGGAATGAAAACATGAACATGTGGTTGCATTACTTCCTGTCGTTCTGTTTCCGCATATGCGCAGTTGATAAACATGGATGAGTTTTGGCGCGATTCCTTTTCCTGGCATCATGTTCTCTTCATTATCACGCATTCACAGTCCCAACAAGAACATCAAAACATGCGACAAACTTACACTTCTCGGCACTGTTTCACTTTTTTCACCTCTGGCAGTATTGAGAAATAAAAGAGCTTTATTTAACTTTACTGATTCTCTTTCATGAGCTTAAAAAGAAGGAAAGTATTGGCAGATATAGTATTGTACATATATTTGTGTTGGAATCATCAAATTTTGGGGTGCAGGCTAAAACGGCACCTCAGCAAAACGTTCCCGATTTCTGGGGCGATAACGGCACCTCTGTTTTTAATAACGATAAGAACGATTTATGTTGTAGTATATATGCTTTATTTACATGTTTTATTATGTTATGTTGTATAGGATTTATTTATATTGTCTTGTGTTCCAGTTATTCGCCGTTGTCCCAATTAGGTCTGGGACGGGTAACTTGGGTGATCGTTTCGGGTGGGAACTGATCGAGAACTGACTGACTGACTGATATAGAAGATTTAACGTGCGCTTTCCGACTGTAGCGTATTTCGCACACGGGCCTGGCCAGACCATTTAGTGTATTCCGAAAAGGGTGAAAGTGGTGTGTGCAACCCAAGAGGGGGCTTTTAGGGGTTGCTTAATTATATTGAATTTTTGGAATTTTTAAATTTGGAATAAATGCCGAGGTGGGTGGAGGAGGGAACTAAGGGAGCCGGGTGAGCTGGGTACGTGTTTGTATGTTTATTGGATTTTGGATTGGTAGATTAATTAGGTTTTAGTTGCGCTTAATTAGGTCTGTTTTGATTAGGAATACGCCTAGGGCCTTGAAGTTTTCTAGTTTATTTTGAGGGTTTAGTATTTCATCTAGAGTAGGAATCTTATTTAGATTGAGGGTGGTTTGTAGTGTGGTTCCGTGTGTTTGGTAGTGGGTGCAGTGGATGAGTGCGTGTTCTGTGGTTTCGGGTTGTTTGCAGTAGGGGCAGTTACCTGTGGTGTGCCTTTTAAGATTTTTTAAGTGGTTATTTAGGTTAGTGTGTCCTGTTTGGAGTTTTGTAATTAATCTGTCAATTTTTTTTGAGGGGTGTAGGATTTTAGGTTTGGCTAGTGTGATCGAGAAGGACCCGGGTACCTATATATATACAGGACTACCCGGACCGGTGATTAGTCATGTGATATATTTTCCAATGGCAAAAATGGTCTCGAACTGTATGGTTACACTACAAGTTACTAATGTTCACAATTCTTTCTGACTATGTACCCATTCCTTCTTGTTTGAATAAAGATAAAACTTCAGTCAACTTCAGTGTATGCATGACCAGATCGTTTTATACGTGTATCTAAATACATTGTGTCCGTCAAACTATTTCAATCGGACATTTTTGTACCTATCTCTTGAGACCTACAGCGGGTACCCGGGTAGGGTCGGGTAATAGGGGGGTGGGTTCCCGTAGGGGGGTGGGTACCCGGGTAGTAAATTTGGACTCGTCCCAGTCCTAGTCCCAATATCAGTGTTTTTGCTAGGATGTGAGCAGGATGTGTCCAGAGTACATGTTCGATGTTAATGTTGAATTGCTATTACAATGTAACCTCTTCCATTGATCTCTGTACTGACCTGTGTACCGATCAGTAGTGAAAACACGAATAAACTTTGATCCTAATGAAGAAACCTTTCATTGTTTTTAATGTGACACTATAATTAGGTTTGTGTACTTTATTCTTGTGTGGCCATTGTCTGTTACGGTTTTGTCGTGTGACCCTTTTTGCCTTTGGGTTGTGGCTGTTTTGACATGTACTAGATGTTAGCCTACTCTCACTATAGCAATCCATTTAGGACTGGCCCACTATATAGGTGTTTGTGGGTGTTGACTCACCTAACCCCCTTCTCCACGGTCAAACAAATGGTTGTCTAACAAATGAGAAATAACTTTCCCACTATTTTATGTAACATTTTGTCATGCTCACCCAACCCAACCTATACATGTAACATTCTTAAATGACAAGTTCCTAATTAATTATCAAATTAAATTTTTCCTCATTCGAAAAAATAACTGTGCAACAGTCCCCCCCCCCCCCACACCCTCCACCCCCCCCCCCCCACCCCCCCACCCCCCACCCACATACACACCCACCCTCCACCCCCACCCCAACCCCCAACCATCTAAGTACGGAATTAATATCAATCGAAACTTATTCATGAAAATGGTTGTACATGGTATATATCTTAATATATGTACACTTTACAAGCATTAGCACTCGGGCGGCTATACTCGTTAATTAATCGTCTCGATATTTCGTGATTCTATATCAGGTATCGAGGAGGAATTAAGTGATTACCTTAAATTTATTCTGATGAAATAATTCTCAGTGAATATATATTTACAACATCGGTAATTGTTTCACGCGAATTAAGTACCACTCAGGTCCATTTTAAAAAAAGAAAGAATTTCATCTAGAGTGAGAAATCACATAGAGTAGATTTTGTTTTCGGTGGTTGCGGCACAAGAACGTACTTCTTTGAACAGAAACATTCGCGCAAATGCAGTCACTGGTCAGGTGCTTCTGTCGTCACTTCCATGTAAATACAGAGAAGACCGAGACATCGAAGGTGCGCGAAAATACATACAAAGTGAGTTTTGAGGAAGTAACCTTTATCTAGCCTTTCTCATACGAACGAATAACACAGGCTATCATTTATTTAACTGACATGGCTTTGTAAGAAGAAATGGTAAGTGCTCTCCCTTGTCAGTGATCAACGAAACATATTTTACAAGCCAGACGAACCAACCCACTCACCTGCTCACTGACAGACTGACACAGCTTGCTTTTGGTTCGAATGAATATTGATAATGATCATTGTGTGATGCCTCTATACTTATGACTGTACAGACAAATTCTCAACTCGTACTGTAATGAGTGTGTTTCTTTAGTCAATCTGTTGGACAATGCTGACATCACTTTAATTGCGCTTTATTAGATGTTTATTTGTTTGTTGTTTAACGCCGCACTCAGCAATATTCCAGCTATATGACGGCGATCTGTAAATAATCAAGCCTGGATCAGACAATCCAGTGATTGACAACATGAGCATTGATCTGCACAACTGGGATACGATGACATGAATGAACCAAGTCAGCGTGCCTGACCACCCGATCTCGTTAGTCGCCTCTTTTGACAAGCATAGTCGGCATTTACGGCAGGCATTGGTTACTGAAGATCTATTCACAGGTTCTTTATTAGATGTATAACTGACTATAACTGTGTGATATATTGTCGGATCATAGGTTTTCGGACGTGATACGTTTTCTGATGGCCATGTTTATGGCAATATTTTAGGATTTTGTATGAACACTGTGTATGACCCGTGAAGACCTGGGGTAGAATTGACTTTCAGCAACCCATGCTTGCAGTAAGAGGCAACTAACTGGAGCGGATAGTCAGGCACCGCTGACTTGGTCAATTTGGATGCAGGCTCCAAATTTGCCTGGAAGAAGCATCAGATGTCGCTGGTTGAAACAGCACCATGTGTATTATTTGGTACCGTGTATATTATTTGGTCTGTAGTGGGAAAGTTAACAACCTTTCACTATTCACAATCAATGTTTTTGTAAAACATTCAAACCTTGTCTATCTATTCGCACATTCATACAACATAACTTTGGATACAGTAGCGGTAGAAACTAACATTTTTAGTCCACTAGTCCTTATAATGATACCATATAGCAAAACTCTTAAAAAGCAAATTTCTTCTAGTCCTTCTTGTCCTTATGATACCTTAACTATTGGACACTTTGAAAAGGACTGTGGGACTAGTTCCAATTTCTAACCCTGATTAGAACTCTACACGACAATGACACCTTCAGCGTATAATCAATATGGCTGTAATACTGCTAAATGGTGTGTAAAACAATGGTTTCGCACACATTTACTCAAGATTCTTTGAAGTTTGTTTGAGTCTATAGAAGTCTGAACTTGTACCCTGCATCTTTACTTTACATTCTGGCTGTCAATGTACTTACTCGACCTGGCTGAAGGTGCAGACTGTCCTCAGCTGGGCATTTCCTGGTACAGAGTGGCATCAAACCCTAGTGGGGACTTCACTGTATGTTCATATGCAATGACTAAAAGAAAGCAGTCTGAAGCCTGAGCCGTGTAAAGTTCTGTTTGATCTATTAAACACATGAGGTCGGTCGGGTAGCCTAGTGTTTAAAGCGTTCGCTCGTCACGCAGAAGACCCGGGTTCGATTCCCGACATGGGTACAATGTGTGAAGCCCATTTCTGGTGTCCCCTGCCGTGATATTGCTGGAATATTGCGAAAAGCGGCGGAAAACCATACTCACTCACTCACTAGTAAACTCAGGTAATAAGGGTCCATACTGTGACACTAAACTTTTCTGAAAATAACAGCAAAATTTGGGCATATAGACTTACAAGGTTTTGAATGTGAAAGTGTATGAAAAAATATTGTGGTTCCAGTATACCAACCAACCCTAATTCAGGAATGTCCTAGTTTTATACCTTATTGACAAATTTAGTTAAAAAATCATGTGCCCAGATCATTATTCATGTAATTGTATCCAAAGCATCTTTTCTATTCTTTATGACATGCATCAGTCCAGACTGGTGAAATATCAACTTTGAACCTGATTCTAGGTTTGTCAGCGTGCAGGTTTCACTCATGTGGAAAATGCCTAATCCTGATTCACTTCATCTTGGATGTCCTCCCATATTATTTTGAGAAATTGTGACATAAATGAAATATTGAATTTATCGTATTAATAAGCCCCCTGCTCCAATAAGCGCCCCACTCCCAAGACCAATAATGTACACCACAGTCTCTGTTTTCAAGTGTATGATACTTATCCTCTTACAGAAAACAAATGCATTGGAAGAGAATATGATTGACAAGTAACTATTATCGAAAACCTCTCGATCTTGAATATAAGTTGAACTTATATATCATTTTTATACTCGCACTGCTTTGTTACTTTTCTGAGTGCCCATTGCGCTTATTACTGTGAATATGGTACTCTTCAGCATCTTAAAGCATCGTCAGAAACTAAGGGTGAAACGATACACCGATATTCTGATGCATTGCGATACTTGACCAACGATACGATACACGTTTGTCTATTTATCGATACGCCACGATATGGAATGCACATTATAGTACAATGTTCTCTCGCTATTGCACCCTTCAATATAGCGCTAACTCTGTTATACAGTGCGGTAACGCATGGCTCCCAAAACTTACTTACATTTTAATAAGCTGAAGTTTCTTCACTGACACAATGTTTTTCCCAATCACAAAAAAACATTATCAGCGCGAGCAGGGAACACAGGAAATACCAGTCAATAAATACGAACTCAAGTATGCAATGCAATCCTATTATTATACTATCTGGTTATAAAAACATGTTCAATGTATATGTGGACTTATGTTTGTAATATATTTTATAAATTTTATTCACTGTATGTATTTGTGGCAACTTGACTATTGTATGTCGACATAACGTTTTCGCAGTCGAAATACATGTAGTGCAGGAATTCTCTACAGTGACTGGTCAAATTGTTCCATACGTAAAATTATCCTGCAATAGCAATCACCTGTACCAAACTGTTACGCTTATGCTTCTTATGATTTTAAATATATATATAGTTGCATATAACATGTATAAAGTAACACAATATTGAAATATATTATTCCTGATAAAACAATAATTTCAGATACAATTTCTTCTGACCATTGGATCAAAATTCTTTGAAGTTATGTAACTGGGTACTTTTTAACTGAATCACCGGTAGATTGGGAGAACGTGTGTACACCTGATTGCTATTTCCGGTTTAGTTTATGAGACAATACACGCGATAATCTTAATCTCTGCGTATAAAACAATGCCTATGAGAGTAGGAAATAGAATTTGAATGGTAAATCATCGTTTCTGGTGATGTTTTATATCAAATTTCATATTTTTATTGACCAGGTTTGTTATACCTGTTTGTTCACCCAGGTTCCCTGAAGGGATACAATGTGTTTTTTTAGAGCGCATAACACTCAATAAATATGTTTTTTTACACTATGAATCATAAACAACTATTATTCTAATCCTTTGTCAAACTCTGTGTTAGGTAGGCAGAACATGTACTGTTGTGTTGGTCATCCAACCCCTACGACGCCACCTCCGTTAAGAGAGGGTATCACTTTCCCTTGACAATGTTGACATTTTATTTTGAACTAAGTTGAACTTTTCAGACTGCGAAGTGCATTGATTATTTTCTGGTGTTTGAACTTTGAAGTTTCCTGCTGTTTTGAAATCTGACATGTTTTGAGGGAAAGTGAGAGAAAGTTCCATTTTGAAGCTTAACAAGTAGTCTTGTTATTATAAAATAATTTTGACTGTTCCAAAATCATGAAAGGTCCAATCCTGATATGCTTGAAGCCTTGAAATTTAATAAATGCTGGAATACTGGAGTGCTTTTTTTTTAATCGTTGCGTATCATATTGTGACCAGAATATCGAGATACGTATCGTATCGTGACCTTCCTGTATCATTGCAGCCCTATCAGAAACTAACAATTTTAGTCCACGAGTCCTTATAATGATAACATATAGCAAAACCCTCAGAAAAGGCAAATTTCTACTAAGGAAGAGAATATATGGATGTCAACTTCTTTATTATGAGAAACAAAACATTTCGGAGTATATGCTTACTCCTTCATTCACCCGATGAAGGAGTAAGCATATACTCTGAAACGTTGTGTTCCTCATAATAAAGAAGTTGACATCCATATATTCTCTTCCTTTTGTGTATCACTTCTAAATGCCTTTCAAAGACCAAGTTTCTACTAGTCCTTATGATACCTAAACAATTGGACAACATGGCAAGACTATAGTACTTGTGCCAATTTCTAGCATTGCTTAAAGCAATTCACTCTTCTGTTTTAGCAAAGATGCCGTTGCTGTATGCAGTGATAGCGCGCGGCACCACAGTCCTGGCTAAATATGCTAGCTGTGCTGGCAACTTCTCAGAAGTCACAGACCAAATTCTTGCCAAAATAACACCAGAGACTTCCAAGCTCACCTACTCTCATGGAAGGTACTGTTGGCTTCTCACTTTTAGTTTCTATCTAAGAAAACAGTTCATCAGTATGTTCCCAATTTTGAAAGAATATTTTAATTGCCAGTTTTTCCACCAAGGGCTGTGCTTGTCATAAAAGGCGACTTTTAAGAGGTGGTCAGGCTCGCTGACTTGGTTGAAGCATGTCATCGATCCCAATTGCGTGGATCGATGCTCATGATGTCGATCTCTGAATTGTCTGGTCCAAACTCGATTATTTACAGACCACCGTCATGTAGCTGGAATATTGCTGAGTGCGGCTTATAACAAAAAAAAACAAAAAAACAAGGGCTCTTTGTTTCGAAGCATTGATAAATTGCTGTTCGAGCATTCAATTGTATATCAGCATATATCTGTATATCCTATGCAGCAGCTGATGCATAATCCTGCCCATTGCATTATTCTGACATTAGCATTATCATGAAACGCATGTCACATCTGTAAAGCAATAACATTAGGCGTTGTTTGTTTCAGCTACCTGTTCCACTACGTCATAGATGATAGACTGGTCTATTTGTGCATCACTGATGATGTGAGTACCAATCTCTAATAATATTCAGGCCACACTTAAACTTCTTTCATGTTTATGTATATATGTGCATTAGATATAGCAAACACTTTTGCCACTAATAGTAGCATGTTGGTTATTCTCTATTGTGTATCACTCCCATGCTGTTTATTCATTAAATGTTCAAATATCAAGTAATTCCTGTATGTCCCTCATGTGGGTTGCATGGCAAGTTCATGGCATGCCAACCTGTCCATATCCAGGTTAGAATAGGTCTTCAGCATCCCATGCTAGGTAACTATGCTTGGTCGTAAGAGGTGACTAACAGGATCGGGTGGTCAGGCTCGCTGACTTGGTTGATGCATGTCATCGTATACCCCAGGGGGCATTTCAGGTCAGAACTAGTCCCCAGCAACCTGTTTGCTGATCGTAGGCAGTGAATTGGATCTGATGGTCATGCTCAATAATTCGATTGATGGCAGTGTCATCATACCCTGATGGCGTGGCTCATAGAATCAGTCACTGGATTGTCTGGCTGAGAGACTGCGTCTGTGGTCTAGTGGTAGAGGGTCAGCCCAGAGATTGGAAGGTCAGGGTTCAATCCCCGGCCACGTCATACCAAAAGATGTTAAAAGATGGTGCTTTTTGTTACCCTGCCTGGCACTCGGCATTAAGGTGATAAAACAAGGAGTGGTTGGCTTGGAGACAGTATACTGTGTCTGAGTGGGGTATTCATGTTAAACTGCGGCATGGCATCACAGTGGTTTAGCAGTATTATATCGGCATTGATCCGGAATAATACAAGCAGCCACACACACACTTATGCATCCATGTTGCTATGTAAGTGCAATAATCTTGGATGTGACGTTTAACATGCATTTTACCTCACCTTTGGTCCAGATTATTTACCGATGCCATCATTTAGCTGTAATATTGCTGAGATGGCATAAAACAACAAACACACAACATGAGATGGAGGACAGCAAAGTATTCAAAGAAACAAAATAGCTGTTGAACTGGTATTTTGTTATTTAAAAAATGAATGTATTCAAGTTGTTGAGGAAGTCATCAACATATTCACAATTAACATGGCATAATTCATTGTTTTCTGGATTTCAGGATTTTGAAAGATCAAGGGCATTTCTGTTTCTTAATGAAATCAAGAAACGGTATGTTTATTAATTTTTATTAGGTTCCTCTTGAAGTGTCTTCTATTGGGTTTCAATAATAAGCTGAAAGATTTTTGTTAATAAGAATTGTATTGCACATTTTGGTGGTTGTTTTGATTTTTGATGCAAAAAAAATATTAGGGGATTTTCTTATTTGAAGCAAAAGTGTTGAACAGAGAAATCAGACATGTGCAGGAAACTCAATGGCTATATTGGTTAAATGATTCAAACAGACATATATTTGGGCATCCCATGAGACTATGCAAACTGTTTGCCTCCATTTTCAGCTTTTATGTATATTGGATGCAATATTTTTCTTCCTGTAAAACCTGTTCATGTTTCCTGTTATTGGGCATGTTACTGATACGTGCCATATGATTATCATCTCGTGGTATGACTCAGAGGCACCTACACATGTGACCAGTAGTTTTATTGATGGGTAGCTGGTCAATAACTCCTGTGTATGCAATGTATCCTAATGTCAGCATGTCCTCGCAGGAGTGATAGGAGAGACTCATCACAAGTAAGCCAGGGCTCCAAGTATTAACTTCTTTTTCATTGGAACCAAATGATTTGTGATTAAAATTAGCTGTTCAAAAGAAGTTAATGGACACCCTATTCCTTCATGCTGCTATAGTTGGGGCACAGGTGGGCCAGTCGCTAAGGCACCGCAATTCACTGTTCAGAGTTGCGTCCCTAGTCCACACCAGAAACCTGTGATTGTGGGTTTGAATCCCATTTCACCCCAATGATGTTTCTAGGTTTGTCAGCACCATACCCATGCTTGTGGGTTTCACCAAAGATGTAAATGTCTGAGACCTGGATCACTACGGGTTTTTTACCCACATCAAGCTAACAAGCTGTGATGTAACTAGAATACTTACAAAAGTGACGTTAAGCCCAATTAACTCACTCATATTGCTATGGTTAATCTTGATCTGTCAATAAGCATGACAAGTGTACATGTGAGCATGTTCTAGTTCTCCATGCCTTTGAATTATTTCAAATTATCTTCTTAAAGACATTTTAGTATGTTTCCCAGATTATGTATTTTACGTAACATGATTAGTGTCATTAAACATGCCTCATTGTTTCAAAAATCAAAAACAGCTCCTACTGTATACTACTCAAAATAAGTTAAAGAACACCCGCTTCTTTCACATTTCTATAGTTAATCTGTAATATCTTGTTTCATAGGGCATAAACTCTGTTGTTAGGATTGAAAGATACTGAATATCTGGTCTCATACTTGAAAAAAGTATGTCTTATTTTAGTCAATTTATTCAAATATCAGATAAAACTAGAGTGTCAACACCAGTTAGACTTTGACTTTACAGATTCTTAGGGACCCCTAAATCTTGTAACATTTGTCCTTGTTTAAGAAATGTGTCTATAAATCAAACACTCACTACGAAGTCTTTTAGTAATGAAGCCTGTCTGAACCTTGTATGTTTTGTGTTTCTACAGATTTCATTCTCAGTATGGGGTTCGAGCTCAGACAGCCTTACCTTACGCCATGAACAGCGAGTTCTCCAGAGTCATAGCATCCCAGATGGTGAGACAATATGAATACGTAGAGTTTATTGAGAGTTTCAGTGTAGCTGTTTATGCAGTCTTGGGGGGCATCGATGGTCCAGAGGTCGAAAGCAATTCCAAGTTTTGTGCCTTATGTCTGCCAAAATCATGGTCACTGGGTATGACCAGTACTTGGTATCCATCAGAAAAAATGAAATCCATGCCAGAGCCCTGTTCCACAAAGTGATCTTAGTGCTAAAACAGTTGTATCTCCTATACTTCAACATTAAGCAACACCGCAGTATTGAATCAGTGATTCAATTGATTCACTATAAAGTCCTAGGACCCGTTCCTCAAAGCGATCTTAGCGTTAAGGTGATCGTAAGTCCCATATTTTAACACAGCCTGGAGCTGTCTCCGTTGTTTCCATATTTGCTAAAAATGGCTTTAGTCATGTTGCACAGTGACATCATTCACCATTTTTTCCCTGAGATAAACAAGTTTTAAGCAAATGTTTAAATATGTTTTTTTTCATTTTACTTGCACAAAATTGAAAACAATGAAATTAAAAACTTGTGGAACCACTTTATTTTTCCTGAATAGAGATGGGTGCAGGAGGGCCCTTGTTTATGAAAGTCAGTATAGTTGTTGTGTGTTGAGTGTGATATGCACAGTCTCTTCGGTTTGTTTACTGCTGATAATCAATTTATAAGATGTTATTTTCTCGTCATGTGTGGTGAACAAAACAATTGGACTCACATTTGTATATAGCCAAGCCTTTAAGACTATTTATTTTTTGGGTTGAAACTAACTTCGATTTAAATTTCAAGAGGAAATAGCACAGCTTTTTCTGATATAACATTGATGTGTTATATTGGAAAAAGCTGTGCTATTGTAGTCAGAAAAGTCGTGGGCAATATGAACAGGGAAATATGTGTAAACTTGAATGGAACACTGACATTAGACAAGCCTATGACTGATGACCTCAAACGTTTCAGGGAACAACTTTTGAAGTTTACATGCTTATCATCAGAAGGTCATTTTGTAATACATGTTTGTTTTCACATTATTTATTTTCAGTTGTACACATTCTCTGCAACAAGTGTGTTTAGTTTCAAAAATGGGCCCATCTCGCACTTTCGATTTGGCAAGCAGATCTCGCTCCGTTCTCGAATCACTGATAATGCAGTTTCACCCACAATAGTCTATTTGTGGGTACTGGATGATTGACTAATGTGGTTTGGGCCTGATTTCCCAACAGGCCATCATTATAGTTATCAAAGCATGTTGACATTTGCAAATTGATGTAAGGGAGACTACTCTGTCTGTTTTGTTTGTTACAGTTTATATATAAGATCAGTAAGATATGAAACAAAGCCATTTAATGTCATAATGCACAAGTTTTCAAGGGTTAATTATCATTTTTTATATATAATCCGAGGTTAATTTGATGATATGATCTACATATTTATATCTGTGTTTGGATTGTGTGACTGAGAGCATAGCTCTGTATTGCTGTTGTGTAATGTGAGACTGAGAGTGTAGCTCTAAATATTGTTGTGTATTGAGTGACTGAAACTGCAGCTCTATATATCTGTTGTGTATTGTGTGACTGAGAGTGTAGCTCTAAATATTGTTGTGTATTGTGTGACTGAGACTGCAGCTATATATATCTGTTAGATATTGAGTGACTCTATGTCTCTGTTGTGTATTGAGTGACTTGAGAGTGTACCTCTATGTCTCTGTTGTGTATGTGTGGCTGAGTGTGTAGCTCTCTATCTGTTGTGTATTGAGTGACTTGAGAGTGTAGCTCTATGTTTCTGTTGTGTATGTGTGGCTGAGTGTGTAGCTCTCTATCTGTTGTGTATTGAGTGACTTGAGAGTGTACCTCTATGTCTCTGTTGTGTATGTGTGGCTGAGTGTGTAGCTCTCTATCTGTTGTGTATTGAGTGACTTGAGAGTGTAGCTCTATGTCTCTGTTGTGTATGTGTGGCTGAGTGTGTAGCTCTCTATCTGTTGTGTATTGAGTGACTTGAGAGTGTACCTCTATGTTTCTGTTGTGTATGTGTGGCTGAGTGTGTAGCTCTCTATCTGTTGTGTATTGAGTGACTTGAGAGTGTAGCTCTATGTCTCTGTTGTGTATGTGTGGCTGAGTGTGTAGCTCTCTATCTGTTGTGTATTGAGTGACTTGAGAGTGTACCTCTATGTCTCTGTTGTGTATGTGTGGCTGAGTGTGTAGCTCTCTATCTGTTGTGTATTGAGTGACTTGAGAGAGTACCTGAATGTTTCTGTTGTGTATTGAGTGACTTGAGAGTGTACCTTTATGTCTCTGTTGTGTATGTGTGGCTGAGTGTGTAGCTCTCTATCTGTTGTGTATTGAGTGACTTGAGAGTGTAGCCCATATGTCTTTGTTGTGTATGTGTGGCTGAGTGTCTAGCTCTCTATCTGTTGTGTATTGAGTGACTTGAGAGAGTACCTGAATGTTTCTGTTGTGTATTGTGACCAAGAATTCTGCTCATTATCTCTGTTGTGTATCGTGTGAGTTAGTGTGTATTTTTGGATCCAGCGTTACTTCAGTGAGGACAGACCAGACCATCTCACCAAGGTTCAGGATCAAGTTGACGAGTTGAAAGGAATAATGGTCCGGAATATTGGTAAGGAAGACACTTTTTCGTTATTGTGATTATGCTTCACATGGATAAAATACAATAACATTAATCTCTTTTCATTCTAAGTTTGATGGACTATTGCTGACTGTGATGTTATTCAACACTCGTCCACTCACTAATCCTGAATAAGACATGGCAGTAACTGTGCTAGTATGAAACTAGTGAATTATTTTTGGCAGATTTGTATAAATTAGTATTGATTTCAGACTGAATATTGGATAAGTGAAGGGAAATCTGTTTAAAGGGGCATAACTCTGTGTTCCTTATAGGAAATGGAGATGTGTTGTTGACAAGAATGACTCTGACTTGCACTGTTTAGTCAGCCCAAGGGGAAAACTACCCCTCAAGGAAAATCATCTAGCGTCGCCATTTGCACACAAAAAATTTACGCAAAATATTTTTATCATTAATATGACATCATTAGTATCATGATTATAAGTAAGCTTTGAACCTTTGAAAATATAAAAAGTTAAGAATTAATTATGTCATTAGCTTTCTATTGCATTTATTTTTTGGTCCAAAAAACAGTTCTGATTACGTTTTTTACATGTGAAATTGCATGACCAAAGAGATTTAAATGTTGGATGAGGCCATAAATTTTCTCATGTATATGGTTTTTATAACAATCCAGAAATATCCTCACAATATGATCCCTGTCCACATGAGAACATGTGTTAATTTTGTATCAATTTATTTATTTGAAGCTCACATGAATTTGTATATTCCTGCACCATTCAGATGCAATAGCAGACCGAGGGGAGCGACTGGAGCTGTTGGTGGACAAGACAGACGATCTCAGTACCAATGTAAGACAGCTACTCCTCATTTTGAGGTGGGGTGGGATTTGTGATAAAAATAACCTGTTCCAAAACATCCTGGGGAAATTATTTTTTTCACAGGTTGTACAGAGAAACCGCGCTTATCCGGACCCCATAATATCTGGAAACCTCTCATACCGGAAGATATTTACATGAAATGAAATATGTACTACATAAAATACTTCAATTATCAGCTTTCCGGAAATAGCTGCCCCCATATCCTCCTCTGTCTTTCACCACCTCCACCTCCACCCCTATCCCTATCTCCATATCTTACATGGTTGGTCCCTAAACGTCTGAAGCAATAGTATACTATCACACAGATGTGTTTTTGGTGCATGAAATTTATAGTTTATACTATAAATTTAGTGAAATTGTTTATAATATTTTTGGGTTTTATAAACTGTCTGATTTTGATATTTTCCTCAAAGAAAATATTCAGTAATCATCCTTGGTCATTTAAAAAAACAAATCAGATTTTTGTTTAGAATAATTAGGCTGCATGGTTATCTATGTTATGTTGACATTAAATAGTCCAACTGCCTCAAATATGACTGTTAGCGAGTCATGGTACGGCATTTGATGTGTGTATCCATGCTTTTGCAACTAAAGTTTGTGTCAAGGTGTCAATAGTGGTAATCTGACCATGGTTGCTGTAAATCACTTCACATACGATTTCACCGAAATTATTGTATACATTATTATAATTATTGATTAAATTTTGAATATGATCAATAAAATAAATTGCAATCATTAGTCCAGATAAACAATGAACAATTTTGTTATTTCCAGTTATTATAATAATAGGATTAAATTGCGTACTTCTGTTCGGATTTGTTTACTGGTATTTCCGGTGTTACGTGATCGCGGTGGTCAGCTGATAATGTTTTCTGAGATTGGAGAAAACATCGTGTCATTGGAAAACTTGAGTTTTTTAAAAATGTTAGTAAATTTTGGGAGCCATGCTTTACCGCACTCTATAACCGAGTTAGAGCTATATAGAGGAGCGCCATAACGAGGGAACACTGTACTTCACATGGCTGAAATTTGCTTGTAGTGGGCATCATATATGATAATTGTGGGATTGGTTGTGTGTCGAAAATCAGGTAAAGCTGTTCCTATACATGTTACAGTTAACAGTGTATTTGTGTTGGCATTCCAGGCTGTGTCTTTCAAGAAGTCAAGTCGAAACTTGGCCCGATCCCTGTGGTGGAAAAATGTGAAAATAACAGTAATAATAGCTGCTGTTGTGATAGTAAGTGTATTAACAAGTTTTTATTCCACTCATCATATAATATAGTATGGACAGAATATTACAGACATGTAGATAAGATCCTTAGTCTGTGCCGAAAACTTTTGAGCCTACTTGTCCAAACATGCTATAATCATCCTTTTGCTGTAGATTTTGATGTTATTGGACTCAAACTAGGTGAGCGTATTTTGTCTTGACTCAGGCAGTGATTTTGATAAGAATTCGGTGCTAATGATATCAACTTGTTGATTATGTTTCATTATACACTTACCATTGGCATCATTAGCTGATATTTGTGAGAGACCGCCGCTGCTGTGTAGTGGAAACAGGGCCTGCCCAGAGAGAGGAAGGTCGTGGGTTTGATCCCTGGCCACGTTATACCAAAAGACCTTAAGAGATGGAACTTGTTGTCACCCTGCCTGTGGCTAGGCATTAAGGGACAAAAACAAGGACTGGTTGGCTCGGAGTCGGTATACTGTGTCTGAGGGTGGGGTATTCATGTTAAACTGTGACATGGTATCTCAGTGAGCTAGCACTATAAAATTGGCATTAGCCCGTAGTAGTACACGCAGAGACACACACACCATTGTACACCACTCTTTGCTCATAATATCAATCACTGTATTGTCTGGTCCAGATTTGATTGTTAACAGGGAGCTGGAATATTGCTGAGTGTGGTTTTAAATAACATAAGAACAAAATGATGTGATGATATGAATTGATTGACAACTGGTTATGGAGTGTGTTAATATCAGCAGTAGGCTAAACATTAACTTTTCTTTTCATTTGTCCACTGAAAACATCTGTACTCTACCTTATGGTGAAAGTGTTTTATCCACAAGGAGTGAGTGAGTATGGTTTTACGCCGCTTTTAGCAATATTCCTGCAATATATCGGCGGGGGACACCAGAAATGGGCATCACACATTGTACCCATGTCGGGATTCGAACCTGTGTCGTCGACGTGACGAGCGAACGCTTTAACCAAAAGACTACCGGACCGCCCCTTATCCAATCAACAAGGAAGCATCGCCAGTCCATGATTATTACTAGCCTCAAACCAGCTGACTTGTTATGTTTTGAACCCTGCAGTGGTAACATGTTTGTACTAATGTGCATTATAAGAGAATATTTCATTTTCAGGTGATCATATACTTCATCGTGTCAGCGTCGTGTGGAGGCCTCAGCTGGCCCAACTGCACAAAGTAAAAATCTCACTTGCTTAACGAGGACAGAGTTATGTCCCCTCCCTTTCAAGTTCAAGCAGGAGTTTGTATGTTTATTTGCACACTGTGTATGCAACAAATCTGTACATCTTCACGGGATGGATTGAGAACTCCAGCAGTTTTAATCACTGTTAATATGGCCCTCTCTCCAGTATTATTAACAATGGCTGTTAGTCATGCTGCAGTGTGCTGCTTCTTGATGCATTTCAAAATTGTCAAGTTTTAGGTATAATAAGTTTTCTGACATTGTGGGACATGAGGATAGAATGCTTCTTCCACAAAGTGACAAGGATTTGAATTGGGCTCTAAGCGTGACAGCTTACACCAGGAAAGATAAACTTTTGATGGAGACAAAACTAACTTTGTATCCACTGATGGTCCACTGTGGGGATCTTGGGCAGAATAGGGCCACAGTACACCATCCTTGTCATAAGAGCTGGCTTAAATGAGAATCAAGGATTTACAGTTGACAAATTCTATGTCACCATGCCCCAAATGAGTGGGAAAGCAAAGGGACTATGTCATAACCCATATGTTATGATTACCTTCACTGGAAATAAAGTAGCTTTGCAAGTGTTGTAGGTCAGTGTTGAGGTATATTGTGAGTTACATCAGGCTTTTCAGTAAAATCCTTTTTTCAATACAGTCCTGCACACCAAAGTGTACCAGACAATCTGTCAAAATGTTAACGGAGAAAAACTTTTCAATTTTTCACCCGAGGCAAAATCAACAAATTTATAAGATAGACTGCAGCTATTTTGGTCATTCAAGCTGAACAGAAAAAGTGTTTGTTGAATTGGATCAAGTTAGTTTGTATTTTTCAGTGTAAACTGTGCTATGTTATTAAGTTCCTTTGTTAAATATATAGTGCTTTATAAGCTGTACATATATTCCATGTTGTTTCATATGTTTCCACTATTGTAAATATTAATATTATACCTGGGTTTCATTTCTCAGAGCAATCTGGAGTCCATGACTATTGACATTCCCATGCTTGAAGACAGACTTCAAATTGTCATAGTGCTAGGATTGCTGTGTGGAATGGCGCCTTAAGCTGTAGTTTGTTTACTGTAGACAAATAACACATGCCTATATATTTCTGGCAATTGAGTTCAGATTCAGTAATAAGTTAATGTTTGACCAAGGTGGCATTTAATTCCACCTTGACCAACCATTTCATATGCTGCGGTGATTTTATTTAAAGACGAAACAAATTTGGTTTCTGCTTTAGAGGAGTAACTGACCATTTTTGTTAAACAACATTTTTTAGGACATCCAGTTTGTCCAGTGAACATTTATTTTTGGGGTGTAAAACCTAAGGCAAAAATGTGTTTTCCTGTGTATTCTGGTACAAATACCGAGCCCCAGCCTCAGCCCCAGCCCCAGCCCCAGCCCCAGCCCCAGCCCCAGTGTAGTCATGGGGAATATTAACAATAATCATCTTGTCAAGATAAGCATTTACAAGAATTCTTACTTGAGCTTAGAAGAAAATCATTGTAATCATTTTAGTGAGGAGGGAAAAATTCAGAGTTGGACTTCAATCAGTCATGCTTGCAACTGGAGTTGTCATATTTGCAACATAGTCTGTCATGATTGTGACGTTATTAAAAGATCTGGACTTCTTAGAAAATCTGCTCTGTGCTTAATTGAATACTACTTTTTCATTTTCATTTTCAATAACATGTAAATAAAGTGCATGACTGCCATGTTATTTTAAAGAAAATATTTTGATAAGTAGTCCTGCAATGTTTTGATCACAAATGGCCCCTGAAACAATATCAGCAGAAGCTAACTGGCTCACTTGAAGGAGTTAAGATGGAGGCCTGCTATGTACATGTTTGTTCATCTCCCCACATGTGCTTCATGCTTCATGTCCTGTGAGTGGGGCAGCATGTTTTTTGGCTTTTCTATCACATTAAGCTGACAAGGATAAAACTAATGTCATGCTAAGAGCGTTTTTGTACCCATCTTACACACTAACTGGAGTAAGGTTCATCTTTATTCGCAATAATTGATTAATGGTCTGATTGTGAAGTGTAATGAGATAAGAACAATTTCACTTCTTTCAAGGTTGTTTTTTTATATGAAATGTTGTTAGTGTTGATATGATATGCCAAGGACAAGACTTTTCAAAATCAGCAATCTATGTTTCATAATTGTTTTCACCTTGTTAAATTTGGTGTAGGTTCATCAATGAAATAATAATGATTGGTCTGGACCCTATTCCACTGAGCAATCGTAGTCCAATGACATTCGTATGTCTATGTTATGGTATAGGAGTTACTATCACCTTAACAATACACTTAATGTATGGAACAGAGCCCTGCTCTAAGTATGATATTGGGGCACGGATGGCCCAGTCAATTAAAGCATCGTAATTCGCTATGCAGAGTTGCATCCTTTAGTTATCTCAGATTCCAATGATCATGCATTTGAGACCAAATTTTTCATGAATTATGGTTCTTTTTCTGTCAGTACCATATCTGTGTATGTAGTTCTCACTAAAGTTCCATAATCGGTGTTACTTCCAACACACTGTGACAATACAGATTCTTTTTAAAGCAGCTTTATATCCCAACTCACTGAATCAATCACTCTCAAGTTGCAATAGTGAATATTTCATATGTGAATATGGTTAGTTCAGCAGTTTCAGTTATAAACAAGTAATCTAGCCAATGAAATCTGGATCAAGGATAACAACTGGACTTAAATTCAGCTTGTCCACACCTCATGTTGTTCAAATGACTAAAATAACTAAACTTTGGAAGAAAATGGTTTGTTCTGTGTCTAACTCGGCATTTACATTTACTCAGCATTTTATTTACAAGTAGTTAGGAATTTCATCCCCTTTTTTAATGGATGTTGACAGTTTCCCAATATGTGCAAAAAGTAAGAAATCTTTATTAAGATAAGAGTAAACATCTGTATGTGTTATATTTGTTCTATTAATGGTATCAGATGCAGACACAGAAAACCAAGTGGTTACAGGCTCCACAATTGTTAGTACAGTTATGCCCCTTAGCCGCCTCAGACTCTGCTATGTACCAATGTATGCTTGTCATAAGAGTTGACTAAAGGGATCAGTTGGCATCCGGCATTCTAACTAAAAGGGGGTTGTCACCCTCAAATTAATTGTTGATAGCATCAGAACAGATTGGGGAACCCGTGAAGATCCAGGTTAGAATAGGTCTTCAGCAACCCATGCTTGCCTTAAAAGGCGACTATGTTTGTCGTAAGTAACAGGATCGGGTGGTCAGGCTCATTGACTTGGTTGATGCATGTCATCGTATCACAATTGCGTAGATCGATGCACATGATGTCAATCACTGGATTGTCTGGTCCAGACTCGATTACTTACAGACTTCTGTCATACAGCTGGAATATAGCTGAGTGTGGCATTGAAACAACAGGCAAGAAAAAACAAACGTAAGAGGTGACAAACAGGTTTGGATAGTCGGTTTTGGTGACTTTGTTGATGCATGTCATCCTATATCAATGGCGTAGATCAATGCTCATGATGTACATCACTGAATTGTCTGGTCCAGACTTATTTAGAGACCACCATCATACAGCTGAAATATTGCTGAGCGGGGCATTAAAAAACCAAATATACAAACATTAAAGTAGCAATAAACCCAAGTTTTTATTATTATCAAGTGTATTGGACTGTATCTTCGTCAGTTACATACTTGAAGCATCTTTGTGTGCATAGGTATTTGTTAAGTGGCAAAACAAAAGGCATTGATTGTATTTATATATACTGATGAAGTCAGCCAGACAGTAAGGCTCTGTAACTAGATTCTGACGCCCTGGTTTTGGTATGTCCATGCCAAATTCTATGATTCTGTTTGTAATGTGTAAACTTCACTATTGTAAATAACAACATTCCTGTATTGCTGCTTGTTAGTGAAAATGTAAATAAATCACCGTAATTTATCATCATTATTGTTGTGTTTTTTGTGAAACATACTGTCACCATCAACAGGATTTATAAACCTCCGGTGACGTCATCCTATTGTTCTCCAGGCGGGTTAAATCTTATAAACAGGGACGTTGTAATGTTCCTGGGATTTTATATCATATCCCCGGGATTTTATAGGATATTCTAGTCATATTTGCTATATAATGTGTTATAATATCCCAGGGATTTTATATAATGTCCTGGGTATTTTATTAATATAACTTCCGTTCAGATTATAACATGTAATGAAATGTAAATTCAAATGACTAATGTTTTCTTTATATTCCAGAGGATCAAACTCGCAACCTTCATATCTGTAGCCCAGTGAGTGTACCACAAGGCTACAGAGGTGTTGATAAGCTGCACTGCTTTTTAGAATGTCCTTTTCAAGATCCGTACGCCAGCAACAGATATTTTACGCTGTTTCCTATGGTTCATGGAAAGTATGTTCGAAAAATAAAAATGTTGATAAATGTTGTTTTAAGGTTCAAAATTGGTTCATAAGTAAGATAAAACACTTCCCCTCGGGTTGTTATGATATTTAAAACCCTTTCCCTTGGAAAATCCCTCGGGATGTTTTATCCTATACAAAATACATTGTACTGTGAATTCATGCAGTTACCAAATATTTGTTTTCAAAATATATGAAGATATTAGTAAAATTATTTGTGACTTAATAAAACAAAGTATGATGCAATGTTTCTTTGATACTTAATACATGTTTACTGGTTTTGAAAGGAATAAAAATGTATGTTTGGATTAATGGCATTTAAATGTACAGCTGTTGCATTGATTGTTAATAATACAAATACCATCTCTGCATGTTGTCCAATTTCCTACCTAATATTGATTGATCCTGTATAATGTTTCATGTTTGTCACGTAGTGCACATTAGTGTCATGTTACTGGATACATGTTTGTGTGTTGTTTAATGCCGCACTCAGCAATATGCTGCTGAGTGTGGCTTTGAAAAAACAAGCAAGACAAAACAAAGGGTGAATATGATTATGTGTAAGGCCCTCATGCAGTTGCTGTGAGAAACAGTATTTTTTTATCAACTTTGCATGAGTACTGTGATTATAATGGAAAAAAGATTGCTCGACTCAAATGAGAGACAACGATATTGTGATTCTGACCCTTCAAATGACAGACGATAACGTGATTCTGACCCTTCAAATGAGAGACAATGATAACGTGATTATGACCCTTCAAATGAGAGACAATGATAACGTGATTATGACCCTTCAAATGAGAGACGATAACATGATTATGACCCTTCAAATGAGAGACAATGATAACGTGATTATGACCCTTCAAATGAGAGAGGATGCCCCATCGTAAGAATGACTGAAATGAATCACAGTGATATCGTGAAATTGACTCACGGGGTGTGTGTGTGTGGGTAGGGGAGGGGGGACAATGCAGGTGACACAAATAAGTGACAATCGTCAACATAACAGGAGTAACAATGCCATCATCAAGGTGATACAAATAAGTGACCATGCTACGTCAACTTGACATAAATGAGTGACAATGCCATCCTAAACATGGCACAAATAAGTGACAATGCCATCGTCAACATGACACGAATAAGTGACAAAGCCATCGTCAACAACGTAAAGAGTGACAATGCTATTGTCAACATGGCATAAATGAGTTGCAATGCCATCGTCAACACGACATAAATGAGTGGCAATGCCATCGTCAACATGACATAAATGAGTGGCAATGCCATCACCAACATAGCAGAAATGAGTTGCAATGCCATCGTCAACACGACGTAAATGAGTTGCAATGCCATCGTCAACACGACAAATGAGTGGCAATGCCATCACCAACATGACATAAATGAGTGACAATGCCATCGTCAACATGGCATAAATGAGTGACAATGCCATCGTCAACACGACATAAATGAGTGACAATGCCATCGTCAACATAACATAAATGAGTGACAATGCCATCGTCAACATGACATAAATGAGTGACAATGCCATCGTCAACATGACATAAATGAGTGACAATGCCATCTTCAACATGACATAAGTGAGTCACACTGCAATCGTCAACCCGACATAAATGAGTGACAGTGCCATCGTCAACATGGCATAAATGATTGGCAAAGAAAATGATGTCCTGATTATGACCCTTCAAATGAGACAATGGAATCGTGAACATGACTCAAATGAGAGTGAAATTGCTACCGTGACTTCTCGTGTGAGTGAGTTATTGTTCATCATTGCTTTGAATAATGTTTAAGTTTGAGGAGTGACAAAAGTCGAAGTCACGTGCGCATAGCAAAGAGGTAATATACCCTAGCTATCAGCCTAAGTATTCTGTTCGACACAGATATTTGGAACCCACAACATATTCTGTTTCAGGACCTGTGAAGATCCGGGGTAGAATAGGTCTTCAGCAACCCATGCTTGTCGTGAATGGCGACAATGCTTGTCGTAAGAGTCGATAAACGGGATCGGGTGGTCACGCTCGTTGACTTGGTTGATGCATATCATCGTATCCAAGTTGCGTGGATCTATGCTCATGATGTCAATCACTCTATTATCTGGTCCACACTCGATTGTTTACAGACTGCCGTCATATAGCTGGAACACTGCTGAGTGCGGCGTTAAACAACAAATAAAACAATACAAACATTATGTTTCAAAACTTACAAGCAATTCCAGTGAATGTATATCTTTGGGTCCTACCCGACGACAAACTATGGTAAATATCAAAAGGTCCCTACCTCTTTACTGGTGAAAAATGTTATAGCGTGGTAGTGAGTGGGTTACCTGACACTCTGAGCTGCAATTCAAACCATGCTGGTCGCAGATCGACGTTTAACACGAGTTTTTCAGTTTCACACTTCGTTGAGCGCTCACGCAACAGGTTTCATCCTGATTTCAGATGATGAATGTGATAGCGCCTACTTGAAAGGCTTATTTCATAAAATACTAAACCTTTCATGCATGGTAACAATATGTTTCACAAACCTGTAGCTTTACATTTTCGATTAAAATGATATGCTTATATGGATTCCGCAAATAACACACTGCACGTTTGTATTTATTTTTTTGGAAAATAAAACACCAATATAACACTTTACAGATGCTGTCACACCAGCTAATATTATGTGGACAGTAGGACTATTCATTACAAGGCCAAGCTATGGTGTTCGTAGGATTGTTGTTGTTGCTCCTGCGGTCGTCCACAGCGACGTTGATTTCGATAGAAGCAGAGACGTCTCGAGGTAAGCACGTCGTGCAAACCAGGGATGAAGCCTCCAACGACAAGACCGTCTTGGTCAAGAAGGGGGATGTCTTGGCGTACAGATTTTGTCTCCTGCAATCCACCCAAGCCGTCTTGAAAGAGATTGTATTTTCTAATGATGGTGCTCCGGACCATGTCTCGATCATCTTAGACCATGAAATGATCGGTTCCTTCACCTCCGAAGACAAGTCCGGTGGTGGTTCCTTGTGGAACGTCTTCAAAGGTTCTGGAAGAATTGGTGCAAGGCTCTTAGAAGGAGGTATTCACCGTCTGAAGATGAAGGTCACAGAGGCTGACAAGTACGGCATTGAAATAGACAAGATATTGATTGAAATCGATGACCCTTTGGTGACGTCGGAATCAGCCGTTCTTAACTGTTCCTTGCCTTGTATCAGGGATACCCTGCCCCTCGTGAGCAACGCCGACCAATCTGTGACAGACGGATACATCTTACAGAAGAGCTACCCGACTCTTTGTGCTGAGGAGGACAACGTTAACATTCATCTGTTCCACGACAGCGTCAGCGAATACACCGTCACCGCCCACAAACCACAGTTGCTTACGTTTCAAAACTGGAGACATGAAGATACAAAGAATTGTCCGTTTCTTGAACCAGTTTACTGGAAATTTGATAACGTTATATTGGAAGACCTTCTCGCTTCGCCGAAGGTATCACCCAAGGCCACCCTTGCCACCAACGATGACGCTGCTAACGGCATCCAGACCCCATTCTCATTTCATGTTCTGTTCCGTCTGGCCGGAAGGACCAACGGTCATATTGACTCGGAGATCGGTTCTGTGTTGACTCTGAAACTAGACGGATTAGAGTCTACAGCTGATGTTACAATATTGTACAAAGAAAAGAAATCCGGGCTTCTTTTCAAAGAAACTTCTGTATCATTTTCATCCTCATCCCCATCTCACAAATGGACCATCGACGATTTCACGTGGTTTGAGAAGCAAGAAAATGAAATCGTCCTAAAGATTTTTACAAAACAGACAAGCGGCATCATCATTGATGACTTTCATCTGGAGCGACGTCCCATGAGCCCAGATACACAGTTTGATATGTACAAGGATGAAGAGGTGGCCGTTGAGGGTGTTGACGTCGATTTTTGGTGGCTAGCGCCCGACTCAATGCAGGTTACCATCTCCACGACTGGTCAAACTTTTGACAATGCCGACTACATGCGTATAGCCCTCCCAGTACCCTGGAACCAGACCTGGAGCCAGGTGTTTGTCATGTATCAAGACGGCAATGTTCGCCTCCTTCCTCCAGTGCCCCCAGCGGCAGACTGGATCCCCTTCGGAACGTCCGTCATCGTTGGTCAAACTGTGTCCAGTGACTTCCGGCCCGTGGCTCCCATCGCATCCGTCGTCGTCAACCCTGACACGCTGGTTCTCGACGTGACGTACCGAGATGGCGGACAGGCTACCCTGAAAGTAAGCATTTGTGTCAGTAATGAAAACACTGGCTACTTCGCTATTACATTGTTCTGAAGAAAGATTCTGCTGTAAGATCCGCATATACATGGAGTACATAAACATAAGTAGTTTCCATCATTTTCGGAAAGATGAGATTTCAGGAATAAGGGAGTTAGAATATACTTACGTTATGTGGTTGTTTTGGTTAACCTGTAAACAATTGAAGATGGATAATGTAGATCCCGTCAAAATAGGCTCATGGTGGTTGTATTTACGTGTAGTCATATTATAAAGAAATGCATCACCGCGCATTGTAAATATACTGACGCGGCAATAAACAATAATCACACATTAACTCCAAGTACGATCTTCCAACCTCTCGTAACCTCAGGCGCGATCGGATGGCCAAGTGGTTAAAGCGTTCGCTCTTCACGCCGAAAGCCCGGGTTCGATTCCCGACATGGGTACAATGTGTGAAGCCCATTTCCGGTGTCCCCCGCCGTGATATTGCAAGAATATTGCTAAAAGCGGCGTAAAACCATACTCACTCACTTTCGTAACCTCACCACCGGAGATGGATAACGAAGATCCTGTTTAAACAGAGTTATCCTTGACCCGCCACCTTTAACCCAATATTAGCAGCCTGCGGTATTTATGTCAGGAATGCATCTTTTCTTAGCCAGGCAGCCAAGCTGAATAAACACATTGTATACTCCGATTAAAAAGACCTATGAGTCATATCGTATACACTTGTTTCCTCTTGGCGAAGATGTCTTGTCCTGGGGTCCTGGTTTTCGCATAATGACCTCGCTTAGAGTAATCAGTTGTTTTGTTTCTTTTGTTCCCCGAAATTCATTCATTTATGCAGTCCTTTATTTGAGCCTTCTGTCATAGTACAGTTACAATTCAAACGAGATCTTTTCCAGAAATAAGAAAACGTACAACTGTATGGATAACAACTTCTGGTTTATTGTATAAGCGACGTGTCAGCGAACATTGTAACAACATTCTCATGCCGTCCCAGTCATCAAAAGCGGGGGTGTAGATCGCTGTGCAGAGTTGCGTCCCTTGGGTGCGCCAGTAACATATGATCGAGGGTACTAATACCAGATTCGGTGTGATTATATCTCTAGGTTTGTTAGCAACATACAAATGCTGGTTGATTCACCAAATTGGTAAACGTCTAGGATATGCATCACTTCAGGTTTTCCTCCCACATCAAGCTGACACGCAGTGATATAACTGAAGGACTCACCCATTCATTGTTTGTAGTGACATTCTAAGAAACGCGGCATTATTATTTGCTTGACCTGCTCTTAAGTGGACAATCCTCACCTCTTTGCCCTTCGAAAAAACTCAAGAAGTGTATCTAGACTTGCCCTAAGACGGTGTACTTTGAATAAGTGATTTCCCAATTTGCTTTTCATTTCTTTCATCTGTATATTTCTCCTGTTCAACACTGCTTCACTTTTCATTATTTAACAGGTGAACGTTCAAGTGGACCGGACAGAACTTCAGGTCAGCAACCTTCTGTTCAAGCAGAACACGACCGCGACTCCATTCGCTACCTTCCGCTCTATGTACGTGGACGCCGGTAACGACGACTCAGACAGCGTCATGACGGACAAGGAAGGACCACGGCACGTACTAGGGGACTGGGACAGGCTGTCGGGGACGTCGTTCCTAGTCTTCAGACGCTGTGAGTCGAGTCACCTGACTCAGAGTCCAGACATACGAGTAGACATCAATAAAGTCTAGCCACGATGATCAGTCTGTCCCACCTATGCCGTTTAAGACTTGTTGTTTTATTCAAATTTCAATTTAGCTGAATTATTCCTGAAATTATTCGAAAACGTTTTGCGTCAGGGTTTACACACACACAAAAACAATTGTTTACTGGGTTGTTTGGCCCATCTTTGCATGGTATGTCTTGAAGTAATGATAATTTTCTGTGTCTGAAAACATCCAACTGTCGCCCGAAAGAATGGTTTTACTACATACTTCAGTGTGAAAGACTGTGTTTTCTGAAGTTGAGAAAGTTATATTTTCATTGCATTGAACATAACGCGTGATATTTCACTGCAGTGAACATAACATTTTGACGGAACTATTGTCATACGAGAGTTACCTCCCATTAAATTGTCTCCCTTTATCGCAAGTGTCTAGCCCGTACACAAACTGTTGTAGTCCATTTTATGTAAGTTCCACATTGACAAGGCAAAATAATGACAGATGGTCATTTATGGACTTAATATCACTTCTCGCAGTTTATTGTTCTCTTGAAAATGGTTCGTCATAAACTGTAAAGTTCCCATTGAACTCGTCAATCAAGACTGTTTGTTTGGCAAAGCGCCTTTTTTGTTACTTGACCAGCGGGTATTCTTTCTCTTCCAACAGTGGTCTCCTAGTTTTGAAGAATATTTTTTTGTTAAAGTTTATTTTGTATGTAATCATATGTAAATGTATAATAAAGAATTTTCGTAACCCTAAATATTTCTTTTATACTTTTGTTTATATTGTTTAAGATTTTGCAAACACGACACTACTTTTAAGTCGTAAACACAAGGGGTGATGAATCGTCCCTGTGTGTTGTTAGGTAGGGAGAATCTATGTTTCCAGGTTTTACATTTTTAATGAAATAACTTAATTTTCCGGTAGACACCTAAACAAAAAGTATATAATAAATAGAATATTCCTTATGTCTTGTATAATATCATGTTTCTCTCATCGAGTGACGGGGGAAAAGGAGATATTTTCGCGAGTGGCGAACCCCTTCAACCCCGTCACTCGATGAGAGAAACATGATATTTCACTCGACACATGCAATATCCTCTATATTGATTTTGACATTCGTTGGTCTCGAGAATACGGATATCACGACATACATTCGTTTTCCCGAGGATTTATTATATGTTATAGACATTGTGAAAATGATTCTTTTTGTGTACTATTGATGATAAACTATTATTTAGAGCATGAATACGCGACGTTTTGACCCCGTTTTGAAAAGAATTTAAATAATATCACGGCTTGTCATCGTCCAAAGTGAAATAACCCGTAGACGTTTAGCCGTTCGATGAAATCCATTAACACAGGAACGTGATGACATAATTGAGATAAAGAGAACAGAGACTTTAAGATTCGAACATACGTCCATTATATCCTGTCACGAATAAGGGACGCAACTCTGCACATCGAGATGCAACGGTAAGATGATTGGCATACCCGAAGACATAACAGCTATTCAGGGTGGTTATTGAGCGCTCATTTCAAGCGTTCCTTAATCCTAACACGAAGCAGGCAAGACACCTGATCCATTTATGTAATTTTCACCGCTATATTGTCTTTTAAGCCAAATTGAATCTATTTCGACAGATAATCGAATCATTCTCAGGCGATGACTTTGAGGTTTTATATATAAAACATCGTGCCATTGTGCAGTCAGTGTTATTACACACCTAAGTCCTGGCGAGGAGTGCATAAACGGAAACTCACTGTATGTAGCCAGGTGTGACTTTATAGATTCTTTCCCTGTGTGTAGCTCAATGGCTTCCTTCTAGTCATACTGGAACAACGTTAGAAAAATGCTTGTTCGTTGGAATATTTTATGTTTTGATGATGTTTTATTTCAAGTTACACGGGTCAGATTTACTGCATATATTTGGCTAACTAACATATGAGCCGATTATAACAGCTGTGGCTTACACGAATATGTTATGTTTCTATACCATAACAACACGCAATCTTTCATTAAATAGGATAATTTCATCATAAAGAGAAACAAATTGCTGACCATTTCCTTTGATGTTCAGAATAATGGTGCCACACTTTGCATTCATAATTCCGTCGATAGCGCAGGCCACATAGTTATTATTATAATGTGTATACACTGACATTACACGCCATCAAAAGACACAATCCAACTGATTGAAAAAACAGACTCCGCAATTGTACTTTGAGCGTGTACTGTTTGCGTTGTACTTTTAGCAGGACCACACGCCATCCCGACAGGTGGTCAAATACAAGACCACACGCCATCCCAACAGGTGATCAAACACAAGACCACACGTCATCCTCACAGGTAGTCAAATACAAGACCACACGCCATCCCAACAGGTAATCAAATACAAGACAACACGCCATCATCACAGGTGGTCAAACACAAGACCACACGTCATCATCACAGGTGGTCAAACCCAAGACCACACGCCATCCCAACAGGTAATCAAATACAAGACAACACGCCATCCTCACAGGTGGTCAAACACAAAAACACACGCCTTTTCAACAGGTGGTCAAACACAAGACCACACGTCATCCCAACAGGTGATGAAATGCAAGACCACACGCCATCCCAACAGGTAATCAAATACAAGACAACACGCCATCCTCACAGGTGGTCAAACACAAAAACACACGCCTTTTCAACAGGTGGTCAAACACAAGAACACACGCAATCCCAACAGGTGATCAAACACAAGACCACACGTCATCCCAACAGGTGATCAAACACAAGACCACACGTCATCCTAACAGGTGATCAAATACAAGACCTCACGCAATCCCAACAGGTGATCACACACAAGACCACACATCTCCTAAAAGGGACAGGAACCTGATGACCGGCCAAGCATCACTGTGACACCCGCTACAACTTAGATATATATGACCTGTAGGAAGATGTTGGGTTAGATATTTTCTCGTTAAAAGAGGTTATTTGTTCACTTAAGGTATCAGTAACGTATCGTTTCGTCTTGCTCAGAATTAAAAGCATATTTTTAAAATATCCATTACTAAGCATGGTTGAGTCCCAATTTACCCTGTAAGAAACTAGATATGTGATCTTTGTGTATAGAGTAAAACACAATATCACACTATAGTTCGTTACATTTGAGTGAGGGGCGGTCGGGTAGCCTAGTGGTTAAAGCGTTCGCTCGTCACGCAGAAGACCCGGGTACGATTCCCGACATGGGTACAATGTGTGAAGCCCATTTCTGGTGTCCCCCGCCGTGATATTGCTGGAATATTGCTAAAAGCGGCGTAAAACCATACTCACTCACTCACTCACTACATTTGAGTGAACAGATTGCGTGAATGTTGTTGACAGATATCGACGGTCTCTCCACCAGATACACGGAAATGAAAATGTTATCTGTGACTTGATCTTAATGATATAATTGATTTCTACATTTCACGCTTAACGTGCGATGTAAATCTGGCGTACATATGCCGTTCAACTTTGATAACAAATAAAATCTTCATGTCAGTCGCTAGCTGTTTTGAGGCCTCTATTTGCACTTAAGTGTACTACCCTTAGACATATCTGTTAAATGCAGTGTAATGTGGTTAGCCAACGGAGGCTTTCAAACTGGTAGTTCTGATACTAATATATATATAGATTGAATGTTATATTCATAGTCTAAAGGACATAGCAGCGGGACATCGGCAAATGGGCTCTACCTCGACAGTTCTTATTTGTTCATGGTTACAAATGAATGAGTCCTTGGGTTGGGCTTAAGTACAGACGCTTTTATCTACGATATCAGTGCTAAGAGATGTGTAACTACATCCTACTAACAATAGCTAGGACACGTTTCATCTGGATATAAACGTGGAGAAAATAAGGTGTAATATCGACCCTTGTAGTACACCTATGTGAGGGCGCTGCTAATGTCAACGATGTATGCGGCGTTTGTTACATTCTCGTTGCTGTCAGTAACGTCATCGGCGACGGTGATGACGATTGAGGCAGAGACGTCACGGGGACATCACCCTACACACCATCGTGATGGAGCTTCGGGCCTGAAAGCTGTATACCTTCGAGAAGGTGACACCATGTCCTTTCCTTTCTGCTTGATGCAGCAAACTTATGTGACGGTAAAGTCAGTGGGTTATTCTAACGATGGTGACCTTGACGACATCAGCATATCTATAGGGAAAGTGTATCTAGGAAAATTCACGTCTGACGTGCAGTATGGAGGAGGTGCTTTCTGGAAAAATTTCAAACCATCAGGACAAATTGGTGCTCCTGTTCTTCTCAACAGCGGCATGCATAGAATCCGACTGAAGGTGATGCGATCGGATACGTATGGAGTGGAGGTGGATAATGTGTTGGTCAATGTTGAAGATTCGTCAATTACATCTGACTCTCAGACATTTTCCTGTAAACTCCCATGCCAGCAGGAGAGCTACTTATTGAAGAGTCAGATGCGAGAGCAAGTTTCCGACGGATATGTGTTACAACGAAGCTACCCAACCACCTGCGCCGAAGAGGATAACATAGATATTCCTGTCTTTCACAACACCGTGTCAGCATACACGGTCACAGCAATGTTACCATCATATCATTCCTTTCTGAATTCCAGGACGGAGGATACTTCCAACTGTCCATTCCTTCCACCCAACTACTGGTCGTTCCGAAATGTAGCCTTGGATCAGCTTCTTCATTCGACACGATTTGTGTCCAACGGTGCCACGTTTGGTCTCAACGACAGCGTGTCTGAGGGTATCAGCACACCTTTTCAGCTTGGTGTCGTCTTTAAGCTGAAGGGACGATCTCAAGGATATGTTGATTCAGAAATTGGTTCGAGGATTAACCTAAGGCTTAATGGACTGACCAGCCCAGCGGACGTGTCGGTGTTTTACAAAGGAAGAGCCGATACCTTTATTAAAGAACCGATCGTGAAGTTTACTGCAGTGTCTCCTTCTCACACGTGGAACATCAAAGACTTTACCTGGACGGAGAGTGGCGACAATGAGGTGATCTTAAAGATCTCCTCTTCTCAAAGTAGTGGCATCGTCGTTGAAGATTTCCAAATGGAGCGACGATACATGGGTCCGGATAAAGTATTCAAAATGTTTCAGAACGATGAAATTATTATTGAAGGAATCGATATCGACTTCTGGTGGCGAGCGCCAGAGACTATGAACATCAAGCTGTCAACGACGGCTCAAACGTGGAATAAAGTTGATTATTTCCGGATATCCTACTCTGTGCCCTGGAACAATACGTGGAGCGAAGTGTTCGTGATGTACCAGGATGGGAATGTTCGACTTCTCCCAATCGTTCCCCTAGCAGTGGACTGGATTCCTTTTGGAAGTTCTGTCATCATTGGTCAAACAAACGCTGAAGATTTCAGACCATCAGCGCCAATAAGGGCCGTTCTGATCAACCCGGAGACCTTGACATTTGACGTGACCTACATGGACGGTGGGAGAGCAACGTTAGAATTATCTTCCCTTGTTGAAAGGTCGGAGCTTCACGTGAGTAACACGCACTATGAGGGCGACACCACCAGTCACCCCTTTGCTACCTTCCGCTCCATGCACGTCAGAGACGGCTTCGACGACGCCGACAGCGTCACGACAGACAAGGAGGGACCGAAGCACGTGATGGACGGTTGGACAACAATGTCAGGGACGTCTTTCCTTCTCCACAGACGGTGTCAGTCGGACCATCTCTCGCAAAGCCCTGATATAAGGCTGGACATTAACAGGGCGTGAACTATTCCACTAAGTGTTTAATCAGTGGCAACATGACATTAAACCAGCTTCGTACCCATAATGTTCATTCTTTATTGCAGTGAACATTATTAAAAAAGGCAGGAATGTACGTAACCTTGTTGCGGGCCTGTGTTTACCTTATACACAACTGGCTTTCCACATTACAGCGCGCGTGACTCTTGATATTCCCAATATCTTTAATACACATAACTTTTGAAACTGTTCGTTCATACTCTTGTAAATTTTGTTACAATTTAGCAAACTCGTGCCAATTATTCATGTTGCACTGATTTACACCGATTTTCATAATTATTGTCACCCTGAGATATATGCGTGTTAATATAGAGGTGATATAGAGGTTAATAACTTTGAGCGGGTCGACCACAAAGTCATGTGACTTCTTGTCTAACGAGCAGACCTTTTTACAAAAGTATGAACATTATGTGTTAATAACTGGAAGTTCTGAAATGAAGGTACGTTAAGGATTGTTGATTGTCATACATTGATATACAGATACAAATGGCTTTAAACTATCGGAAATATCTAGACTTTTATGAACATTAACTTTCCATTCCCGGTTTTGACATATACTTCAATTTTAGAAATGGCCGTTCATTATTGTTAATATTTTGCAGGAAATAGTGCACAATTTCATCTTACGTCATGGCAGTACTTCATGTATTTAGTTTTTCTCATATAATCCTCCTTGGAACTTGAAACTCGTACGTACGATGCTTTGTCAATCGCCCCAATACTGGAACAAGTCTATGCTCACTCCCTCACTTTGGCCTCTCCCCCCACAAGCTGACATGCTGTGATGTATCTGAAATACTGTCCAAAGGGTAACCTCCCATTTGTCAGACAGCATATACCAGGGTTAGTCAAGGTTGGTTAGTCAAGCAATAGTTACCTGTTTACCTTTCATTAAAGTTGAGCCAGAAACCTATGATTGTGGGTTCAAATCCCGGTTCGCTCCGATTATGTTTTTTTTGGTTTGTCAGCACCATACCCGTGCTCGTGGGATAAACGTCTGAGACCTGCATCACTTCGGGCTTTCCTCCCACATTAAGCTGACACGCCGCGATATAATTCGAATACTGTTAAAAGCGGCGTTAAACACAACTCACTCACTCACTTACTCATTAAAGTGGAACAGACCGGAAAACACGCATTTTGTGGAATTTACAGAATAGGTTTATTATGTACTTTTAATCATCAAATCATACCAGATATCACACTTTATGACGTTTTCATTACATTATTTCAAAAGACAATAACATCTCCAGTGTGTGGTCTGGCCTCTGACATATGTTTTGCTGACGATACTTGTACTTATAAAGCACAAGCAATGTAATGTTATGCATATGTACATAATTACTCCATTTATGTTTCGTTTATAACGAGTAACGTTCCATGCCCACAATGAGTGAGTGAGTGAGTATGGTTTTACTCCGCTTTGAGCAATATTCCAGCAATGTGGTCGGCGTGGCGCGCAAACTTGGAATATACTACAGGACATGACTAATAGCATGTATATCGATCATGAATAAACGCTACTGAACTGAGTTTGAATATTTGAGTTTGAGTTTGAGTTTGAGAGAGAGAGAGAGAGTTTGAGTTTGAGAGAGAGAGAGAGAGAGAGAGAGAGAGAGAGAGAGAGAGAGAGAGAGAGAGAGAGAGAGAGAGAGAGAGAGAGAGAGAGAGCGTTGCGCCGGGCCGCGTGCGTGGTATACACGTAAGAGTTACCTCCCTTATTGTCTGACACCGGTGCACAGTTTACAGTGACACACAATTGAGTTAAGTCTAACGCAGCTTTAAACAGTTTAAAGTTTATACAGATGTGTGAGGATAGCCCCAATTAATACAGGTCTTGATAATCAAGTATGATAATCAGGGCCAACTGGAAATTAAACCACATGATCATAGGATTCTTGAAGATTCTGCTGTAGAATAGTTTTTCAACAACCCATACTTGCTGTAAAAGGCGACTATGCTTGTCGTAAGAGGCGACTAACGGGATCGGGTGGTCAGGCTCGCAGACCTTGTTGATACATGTCATCAATCCTAATTGCGTGGATCGATGCTCTTGATGTCAATCACTGGATTGTCTGGTCCAGACTCAATTATTTTACAGACCGCCGTCATATAGCTGGAATATTGCTGAGTATGGCGCTAAACAATAAACAAACAAACAAATCATAGGATTCTTGCATACTAAGGGAGGCAACCTGACAATGCCCAAATTCACACACATGCGGTCTGTTCATCTTCTTGTTTTACCTTCATCTTCCTCGGTGTAAATTAATGACAGCAATGAGATCCAAACCTTTCATCTGTATCCAGTTTCATAATTTCAGTTGATGCCAAATAATTTCAGATTAGTTTCATTATGAAATGAAATGACATGTAGATATTGAAAGCTGGAGGTGCTGGATTACTGCTCGACATAAAAGGAAAGTTGAAGTCATCCTTCTTGTCATGCAGTCTTGTGGATAGTTCTAAAGGATATCATGCACGTAATGAGATATCATTGGGGGGAAAACTATCACCCCCTGTCAATCAAAAACATGAGTGGCCAATCAGGAAGTCCGAATTGATACAGAATACGCCATTTTGTCCTGCAATTGCAAACCTGTCCGACGTTTATCAAAGTGATGAATATTATTCAGGACAATCTCCAGGACACTCCTTATTTAAAGATGTAAGTGCAATATATATGTACACTGTCGTCCTCCATCACATATAGGTCTAAACATTCATGCTGTTAGAAAACGTAAAAGATGGACGAACAAGTGCCTGAACGTTTGATTAATGAATATATTCATACACGAAATGAGGACTGAATACGTTTGAACTGGTTTCTCACGGTGTGGAAAATATCAACACCCGCCGAATTGTTACATAACATGTTAATAGAAGTAAACCCATTAAAAAGAACCCGCTGGCGGTCGGGTAGCCTAGTGGTTAAAGCATTCGTTCGTCATGCCGAAGGCCCGGGTTCGATTCTCAACATGGGTACAATGTGTGAAGCCCATTTCTGGAGTCCCCCTGCTGTGATATTGCTGGAATATTGCTAAAAGCGGCGTAAAGCCATACCCACTCACTCAAACCCGCAGATGTGGATGACAGTGTCCTCTCTTATTGTTGCTGTTTTGCTTCACGAAATCTTCACTGCTTGATCATATGTAATTAGTATTATAATTAATATGTGTTTATCTCATGTGCTTCCAAGAAGATGGTCTTGCTAATGACACTGAATTGTGATATATAGTTTCAGTAACCTCTCGGAGGTATGCATGTAGTATCACTTATACATGTTCATTTTTCTTAGATTTGACCAACAACGTATCTATGTACCCTTCATATTTGCGCAACAAATTAACGATTGCGAACATTGTTTCTTGTAAGAATGTTTGCTTTCCAATACTAATTACTCGTAACATTACCATCGAGATTGAGAACTGTCAACATCCTTCTTACTGAGAACGTGTGATAGGTATTTTCGAGGCGCTTCAAAATATCTCACACTGTCAACATATCTTCCTTCCATTGTTGATGTACCTTCATCACACTGTTGATATACCACTGATGCTTATGTACCTGACTTACACTGCCATGTTGCCCTATGGACTGGTCGTCCAAGACTGTCTGGGACACTGGTCGCCCTGTGGACTGGTCGTCCTAGCCAGTCGGGGAAACTCGTCGTCCTGTGGGCTGGTCGTCCGAGACTGTCATGCCTGCTGGTCGCCCTGTGGGCTTGTCGTCCTAGACTGTCGGGGACACTGGTCGCCCTGTGGGCTTGTCGTCCTAGACTGTAGGAGACACTGGTCGCCCTGTGGACTTGTCGTCCTAGACTGTAGGAGACACTGGTCGCCCTGTGGGTTTGTCGTCATAGACTGTAGGGGACACTGGTCGCCCTGTGGGTTTGTCGACCTAGACTGTAGGGGACACTGATCGCCCCGTGGGCTTGTCGTCCAGGACTGTAGGGGACACTTGTCGCCCTGTGGGCTTGTCGTCCTAGACTGTAGGGGACACTGATCGCCCCGTGGGCTGGTCGTCCGAGACTGTCATGCCCGCTGGTCGCCCCGTGGGCTTGTCGTCCTGGACTGTAGGGGACCCTTGTCGCCCTGTGGGCTTGTCGTCCTAGACTGTAGGGGACACTGATCGCCCCGTGGGCTGGTCGTCCTATACTGTAATGGACACTGGTCGCCCTTTGGGTTGGTCACACGGGTAACCTAAAATATGGTCGTCATAGTCTACCGGGTATACGGGCGCTCCTCTGAGCTGGTCGTCCTGAACTATAGGCTGACTCTGCCTTACTGGGACACGGGCGGCCCTGTGGGCAGGTTAACTCTGTCTAACGGGGACACGGGTATCCTTGTGAGATGGTTGACTCTACCTAACGGGGAGACGGGTACCCATTTGGGCTGGTAGTCCTAGTCTACCGGGGATACGGGTGGCGCTACAACTCGCTATGCAGTCACTGCCTCTGTTCGAATCCCAGATTCACATTAATTTCCTGGCACATATCATACTTCAATTCAACAGGTAAATGTTGTCAGTTGTCAGTAAACTGATATGTAAGTTTATTTATCGACTGTTTTCAGGACCAAACCATTTCAGACTCTTGATGCCCACTTTCTCTAACACGGAGACAGCCTCCATGGTCTAGTGGATAGAGCGTCTGACCGGAGAGCGTTATGTCGGTGGTCCACATCAAGAGACGGGAACAGATGGTATTTGTCTCCTTGCCTGGCATTAAGAATGCAAAACAAGAAATGGTCGGCTCTAAGTAATTATACTGTGTCTGAGTTGGGTATCCTTGTATAACTTTGACATGGTATCTCATTAGTACGGACAGATACACGCACACACGCGCGCGTGCGCACGCACACACACACACACACACACACACACACACACACACACACACACACACGAACATATGTACGTAAAAGTACAATAATCTTTAACGCAAGAAAAAAACCCATTTCACCCCACTCCGCCTCTAACTAGGCCAAAGAGATCTCCCAGATTATGTCTGTCTTGCCCTGCTTAGCGTTGTCGCCGATCTTGACGCTGTTCAGAGCTACAGATACATATACACCTATATTTCAAAAGATTACACTAGACGTGATAAACGTCACAGAAATGACCTCCAAAATACGTATCAAAGTAACGTTAAACACGCGTCTTTGAAGATACTTCTCTGAGAACGTAACACGTTAATGGACCCTGAAGGCGTATACAGCTTGGGTACGCACATTAAATGTTTTTACGTGCAAACAAACACTTCGGCGTAGAGTGTAAATGACTGGTTAACTCTCTAAACACATTACATATTTACAGAGGTAACGTCGCATTGGGAGTAATTAATAGTCAGCATATGAATGTCGCTGTTCGTGACACTTTGTATTCAAATATGTTAAGATAAGTTATGTTTACTTTTAAAATGTCGTCTTATCTGTCCGTAGGCACGATGCAGTCTCCTTTCATACACTTAAACTTCCATCATAAGTTTATAATATATCAATCATTAGATTTTTTTCATCACCGCCCTACTCACTGTAAAACACCCAGCCTCATATAATTATATCGTCCCCAATAACCTCATACGAAGTACATTGCATTGTGTTCCCTTTTGCCCTTACTTGGTGACATACATGGACACCAGATACCCTGTCCCACCAACATTCGATCCGTGAAGATCCGGGGTAGAATAGGTCTTCAACAACCCATGCTTGCCGTAAAAGGCGACTATGCTTGTCGTAAGAGGCAACTAACGGGATCGGGTGGTCAGGCTCGCTGAGTTGGTTGATGCATGTCATCGATCCCAATTGAGTGGATCGATGCTCATTATATCAATCACTGGATTGTCTGGTCCAGACTCGATTATTTACAGACCGTCGTCATATAGATGGAATATTGCTCTATATATGTGTATGTGCGTGCGTGTGTGTTTGTTTGTTGTTTTACGCCGCATTCGGTTGTTTGGACCCGGCAAACTAGTGATTGATATTGCAGGCAATGGTCCACGTCGATGATCATGATGTCAATCACTGGATTGTCATGTCCAGACTCGATTATTTACAGACCGCCGTCATACAGCGCGACTATTGCTGAGTGCGGCGTTAAACAACAAACCAACAAATCCCACAAACATTCAGGCTCCATGTCATTCACATCCGTTTACAGTTAATGCACACAAATGCCTTCCAAGTTATACAAATAAAATGTCGTTTGTAACAATCGAATGGAAATCTAATAATAAATTTGTGGCCTACATGAATGATTTTTGCACTTTGGGCACATTGAAATACCATTTTGTGTTTTGCATGCATATTTCACGTAGAGCTATTCTGGTCATAGGCTTCACACCATATATACACCAATAAAAGATATTACACTATCCATTCCGTTCAAAGAAAGGGTATTCTAATCAATACAGTCAGTTTACAGATTGTGTTTTTATGTCTTCCCATTAGGACATTTGAAGAAAGGAAAAATCTATATATTTATGTTTATGCCCCCAAGGTACTAAACAAACACATTTCCCACGTCTCAGATCTGTTTAAAGATTCTTTTGTATGCTGAAGATAAACATCATATATAGAATTCCTTTTATTACGAGAAAGCCATAAACAATCCCCTTTTACATAAAAACGCAATAAGTACAAAGTAATCAGCAACATCTAACCATGACGTGACATGAAATACGAGATTGTAAAAACTTCAATATGCAAATGCACTCCAGAGGCTATGTAACCGAAATGTGGCCAAACGTTGCCAAATGTAACATACCGACTGAACCAGTTGAATAGCTGCACCCCCGCAGCCTAAAGAACGCAACAAACATTACTGAATCGATTTAAAATTTGGAACAAAATTAATTAAATTTTTTCGCCTTGGATGTTGTGATGGGCTACGGTTCTTGGTCAACTTCCGGGGCAAATTTTATGACGTTGTTGCAAAAGGGTAAATTAAATAAACGAGTGAGTGAGTAGGGTTTAATGCCGCTTTTAACAATACTCCAGCTTTACGATGGCGGGCAAAGAAGTATAACTCATTGTACCCATAATGATACGAACCTGAATCTTCAACGTGAAGAGTTAACCACTAGACGATGCAAACGCATCTCATGTACCAAAAACATAAATCATACTTCCTCTGCAACCTCACCTCAGTCGACGATGAAAACTACACATGCCGTCTTACTATATAAACTCAATTTGTACTACTTGTCCAAGACGTAGGTTTCGAGGGGGCGGTGGGGTAGCCTACTGGTAAAAGCGTTCGCGCGTCACGCCAAAGACCCGGATTCGATTCCTCATATGGGTACAATGTGTGAAGCCCATTTCTGTGATATTGCTTGGATATTGCTAAAAGCGGCGTAAAATCATACTCACTCACTCACTTCTTAAGTTCTAATACTCCTAAAATGGAGTTTCCTTTAATCTATCCTTGTTCATTCATAATGCCGTATCAAAAGAACATGTACCACAGGCGTTATATACAACATCATAGCATTGTATGAATGACGTTTGGTCTATCGGTTTTGAATTAAACTGTTACCCACACTCTTTCAAGAAAATGACACACTTGCTTGTCATTCTAGAAGTTGAAAGTAATTTGAATTATGAGGTATAAACCATCTGCTTTGCTTCGTTTATAGGAGTGGCGAGCACAGTTATATGTGTTTTATATGTCCACATTTAAAGTATTTCATATCTGAGGGCTTTTCTTTTAAAAATATATATTTACTGTAAATGAAAATTATCATTTACATATATAAACCGTGAAAAGAAACTTAATCCAACGTTTACTGTCTGAGTATTGTTTTGAATTCAAACAGCTCACAAATTTACGTCTTAAAATAACTATCAATAACATTTATCATAAAGGATTATCAACACATGTCGAATAGAAGCATAACTTATATGTAGTACTTTTCCTTCGTTTAGGAGCATCTACAAAGATTTAGGTCGAAGATAAAAATAAAAATAAACCCCGGATGTGATACTGTACAAAGTTACAACGCGATGACATAAATACATATACTAATCAATGTCGAAGTTGAAATATTTCGAGTTATGCAAGGTTCGACACATCCGATAATGATGACCAAAGAAGGAATAATCAGGGCTTTTATTCAAGACAACCGTACGCTTGACATATCAAAGTTCGACACAACGGTTTTTGACTGTACTAAAATAACGATTGTTTTATACAACACTACGTAATCAGCATGTACCGGAAACGAAATAATGACATACCTGTCTACGTAATGAGAGCATATCCACACGATCATTAATTTAAAAGCATCGGAATATTACAAAATTACATCTGATAAACATTACGATTAAACTAATTCTACAAATGGGTGGAAAATGGATGGAGAACTCATTCCTTACGGGTATAGTATCTATGCTGGGTAAAATTTGTTATTGTCCGATTCTGAATGTTGTTTTTCCACATTTCCTTTTTGCACTTTCAAATGAAATTACTCTTAATATTTGATGGGTCGGAAAATACAGAAAAAATCATTGTACATAGCCATATAAATCTTTTAAACAAGTTCAAGATTTATGGGTATAGTCTCCACATTTAACATTTAGTTCCGATGATTTAAAACCACTTCAGGTTTTAACGATCCTCAGATTCAAATCTGGACTCTGAGTAAGATGAGTGGACTGACACCGACGAAATATTCCGAACACCGTTCCCGTAATGTTTCCCCAGTTTTCCATCACGTGTACAGCGCTCTGAGTGTCCGAGGCTACGCTGTCAGAGTCGGCGTTGCCACCTTCAACGTACATCGATCGGAACGTTGCAAAGGGGTTGGTCGTCGTGTCCCTGGCCATGTTGATGTTGGTGACACGTAGTTCTGTCCGCTCAACAAGAGGGAGGAGGGTCATACTCGCCGTGCCACCGTCGGCATACACAACGTCAAGGGTGAGATATCTTGGGTCAATTGTTACTTTGGAAATTGGAGCACTTGGCCTCATTGTTTTGTCCGTTTGACCAATCAGCACTGAAGATCCGAAAGGTATCCATGAAGCTCCTGGTGGTGTCATTGGAAGTAAACGAACATTTCCATCTTGATAGAGAACCATTATCTGGCACCAGCCATTATTTGACCATGGAACCGGGACATAGAATCGTATATAATGGGCAGTCCATGACTGAGAAGTCGTTGACAAAGTCACCTCCATCGTTGTATTTTGCTGCCACCAGAAATCCACATGCAGACCTTCAATAATAATGTCTTCTTTATAGATTTCAAACATTCTATCGCCTTCAAAGTCCCGTCTTTGGAAGTAAAAATGGTTTATAGAAATAGTTTCTGGGTGACTTGTTACGATTACCAAGATGACGTGATTTGCATTTGCACCCAAGATAAAATCAGGAACTTGCCATTCAAAGGTATGAGATGCGTTTGTAAACTGGTACGTTTGTAAAGTTGTGTACCTGTTAAACTTTCCCCGGCAGAGAACTGTGACCGTAGCAACATCCATGATGCCACTTAAAGACAAGGAGATAACTCCACCCATCTCAGAATTAAACACTCCCTCTTTTGGTGTGTCAAGGTAGAATAAAAGACCAAGATGAATTGTTGCAATACCGTGGCTGTTAACATGTGAGCCTAACACACTAAGAGTGTTCGGGTCCGTGCGGTTGAGAATGGACTTGAGGTTCACACTGGTATAGTTCCAGAACACTGCTTGAGCAAAGGAGCAATTTTCAAAATCTTGATAAGCGTCATTTCTGAAGGAATGGTACATTGGTAAGGTTGCACTGATGGTGTATTCACTGACAGATTCATGAAACACGGGGATATGTACGTTATCCTCCTCAGCGCATGCTGTTGGATAACTTTTCTGAGTGATATAACCTTCTGATACTGACTCTTGCTGTGGGTTTTTAAGCACAGGGGTATCCTGAGAACATGGCAGTCTACAATGCAGAATGTCCGAATTAAGATGATCATCCGCTATTTCTATCACAATTTTATCAATTTCGAGGCCCCAACGATCAGTATCATTAGCATATATGCTCAATCGATGCATCCCACCAGTAACTATTGTACTTCCGAGTTCACCAGAATGATAAAATATGTTCCAGGATTGGCCGCCAGTGTCATGTCTTCGTGTCCGGAAAGAGCCAATGGCAAAGTTGTCCATGCCGACGCTGACGTTGTCAGAGTGACCATCGTTGGAAAAGACAACATCTTTGACAGTTAGGTTTGTCGTCTGAATGAAACAGATCGATAATAATATGGAGCTCCCCTGGTAGAGGAGGACAGACTGATACCCAGATGCTTTTGATCTGTAGTTTCTGATATGTTGACCTTTCGAGTCCTCGGCCTCTAGCGTCCAAAGCGCCGCTGACGTGAACTCCGTCCACACCATCAAAATTAAAACGACGACCTGACTACAGTTCATCCTTCTGAAAAATAAAAGTAATTCATCATTCACTAAACAAAACACTTTTATTCATGGTTTAGCTATAATGAAATATTCACGCCAGGGGCTGATGTAAGCAGTTTTGATTTCATCACAATGGGTATCTTAGTCTGTGATCTTTATTGCAGCCAGTCGGCGTTCAAGTTTAGAAACAGACTCGACATATTCCACTCAGCTTATCTCTCCACTCTGTTCCAGCTTCATAATCCACCAAGAAATCTTTGATCAACACCTGCTATCTGTTCCTCAGTATAGACTTTCAGGTATGAACTAAAGACTTTCAGTGTGGCTGTCCCAAAGTTATGGAATGATTTTCCACTTGAGATTAGACTTTCCCCCACACTTTTAAGACTTTCAAAGCAAAACTAAAGACACATTTGTTCAAAAAAGCTTTCCCGAGTGACATTTGAATGTAGCGATTTGAGCATGAACTCTACGTGGAGGCTAGCGCATCATAAGTGCCCAATATTATTATTATTATTATTATTATTTATTATTATTTATTATTATTATTATTATTATTATTATTAATATTATTTACAGATTAAAATAAAAAATGCAACAAAGAGGGTTTGGGTGATCTTGGCACAGTCAGGGTGGTTAGGCTTATCATCAGCTCAGGGCCCTTGCCCCCTCTACACGCAGCCCAGGCAGCGAATTTGACTTCTCCCAGGAAGCGCTGCCTAGTCACACCCACCCAGAACTTTTTTCGGACAATGTGAAGACTCCCCAACACTGCAGACTTCTGCATTACCCAGATTGTCAGAAGGGATGTTTTCCTGGTAGTAAACCCGGGTACTCTCCCAATGTCAGTCAACAGATTGGGAGGTACGAAACCTAAGGCACCGAGAACGATGGGGAGTCGAACAACTTGGTGCTTGGGATGCAAGCGTGACATTTCGAAAGCGAGGTCCGCATATTTGCTATGTTTTTCCTCATTCTTGTCAATCACATTAGTATCAAAGGGGACAGAAATTTCAATGATATAAATGATTTCATTGGATTTATAAAAAAGGACAAGATCAGGTTTGTTGGCCTGGATATGTCTAAGGCTGTATACGGGCCTATTCCAAAAGATTTTGTATTTATCATTTTCCATGACGCACTCTACATATTCCGGGTCGTACCATGGATGGACCTCTGTGTCAAAACCACAAGCATGGCGAAGACGGTAATAAAATGATCGAGCCACCCCCATCATGTCGCTTAAGATACTCTGTCTGTGCCAAAGCTTGGCATCCACTCACAATGTGTTGGACAGTCTCATTAAATTCATTACATAATCTTCATTTCATATTTACATTTTGATGCAAAATCACACATTGACGGTTTCGAGTTGGAAGTGACTGGTCCTGAGCAGCAAACAAAAAGCCTTCTGTTTCACTTTTCAGGCCAGACGACTTCATACAAGCGAAGGACTCTGCAGGATTGCTGATCTTCTCAACACACTGCACATAAACTCGATGCAGTGGTCATTCAGATAGCCTCTTCTTTGAAACCTGGGCCGACTTGATATGGCACTTCGCTTGGTTGACACTCATTTCTGTACCGTCCAGCAGTACAGAACCATCAACAAAATCAACACCGACATTGAGATTATGTCCCACATCAGTGACTCGTTTTAGAAAACTGTGGAATTATTATTATTATTATTATTATTATTATTATTATTATTATTATTATTATTATTATTATTCCTCCTTCCTAATGTCCTCACTATCGCTCGCTACTCAGCATAGTGGTCAACCATTTTATATTTGGTGGAATGTGGATTTTGTTTTTAAAATTTTATATTATTATCTCTTAAAGGTTATTGGAAAAATACTTGTTAGTCTTGTCCGAACATTGACATTTTTAATTGAATCTCACTGATCGAATATTCCTATAGTTGGGTTTTGGTGTGGTTCCCGCAATACACAGTACAAAATATATTCATTCTAGAGAATAGAAGAGCAGGTTACAACCAAATGTATTTTTATGCAATAAGCGAATTAAAGCTTTGAAATTTTTGGGTGAAGCTTAATTAGTGGAGGACTATTACAATTAGGAAAATTAATAATGAAGGTAGGTTGCAAAAAATTATCGAAATATGCATGAGAAACTGCCCTTCTGTGATGAAGGTATAGCGGACGTATATATTGTTTTAATTGTAAGTGCTACTTTTGATGCTTTTAGCACCAAAGACATTTTATTCATACAGTGGTTCAAGATATATGTACACGGCGCCTGTTAAGATAAGTCATATGCAACTCTATACAATTCTATTATTCTTTGAAACTTTGTTTACAAATACGTAAAAACATATGTTTGTAGTTTGGGTTATTGGTATAGAAATTAGGAATATGTTTCTTTCTTACTTCTGTATAGAAAATACATTCAAATAAAATATTTAATTAATCTCTCTGCAAGTTCAAACAATTCTGGCACAAAGCTATACTAATATCATTAACGTTTAATCTTCCACACAGTTGAATATTTAAAATTTTAATTAAAGATACCACATCTGAACGTTGTTAAGAATCTTCGTAGTTACGGAAATGATAGAGCTTGTAGGTAGAACCCGGGATTAAAGTTTAAATGTAAAGTATGTGTGTGTGCTATTAGGATTAAATACCTACCAAAGACATGTATCACTAATGTAAATATGCATATATTTAAAAGATACATTGGCACAAACTAAACAGAACGAATGTAATCACAATGCCTGTTTTATCATACGAATGAAAGAAGAAAGTATTTGTTAAACAATGTTTAAAATTTTGTATGTTACCACTACGATACATGTAAATTGTTATTATATATGGACCTATGACTTTCATACTGAAAAGATGTAGATTGATAATGCGCGGTTTATTCACAATATACAGCAGTTTCTGGCATCGGCCTGTGACGATTATGTTTAAACTCATTGCCTTATCTTAGTTCAAGGCGCACAGCAAAAACTCATTTCATTCAATAAATGTAGGCAGTACCCTTCATATGTTCTCTTGAGATTTAACGATAGTACAGGTAACGTTTTCTTGTGAAAAAAGAAATGCCTACAGTGAAGTTTGAAACCTTAAAAATTGAAAATTTCATGACTGACAAGATTATTATAACAACTAATGTCTTAGTGGTCATGTCATGCTAATTGTTTTGGGCGTCACAGTGATCTTCATAACTAGAATGCCATGTTCGGGTAGTTATAATTTTCAACGCCCACACATTTCAGCGAAACCGACTTCGTCAAAGATCATCTGTACGTTCCAATAGCTCTCAAGTAACTAACAACTGCCCAACAGCAGCAATAACAGCATGTGCTGTCGTTAATTACCAGACCTGCAACAACTTCCTTTTGATAACACTATAACGTCCGGATGTGTCACGGTCTAATCATCTACCTGTCATGTGACGAGAAAAGGTCTAAATAAAATGGAAATAAAACCTGTAGGTTCACCGAGCATCGCAGTACGTGCTGGTGACGTACCCGTCTCAGTTGTAAGATTTAAGGCATGTGGGTGGGGGTTACGTGTGTACTGTTAGTCCTAACACAGATCCAACAACGTCCACGTAGACTTCTTCCAGGTAGCATGTGAGTGAATGGTTAAATGGTTAAACACCGCTTTTCAGTTATGTCGTGGCATGTTACCTCAATGTAGAGGAACGCCCGAGGTTATGCAGGTCTTAGACATACACGGGTACTGGCAAATGTAGAAACACAATCAGGGCGAACCTGGGATTCAAACCCATGGTCATAGGTGTCAGGCTACCCTAAGAGTGCAACTCTGCACAGCAAATTGCGGCTCTTTAGATGAATGTCCAACCCGTGTCCCATTTGGAAACCCGCGGCAGTTACTCAGTGAGCTGGTCAAACGCAATGTTGAGCATACTATATCTAGCACATCGCGAGAGAAATATCCAAAGAGATGCAAGAAAGAAGTTTCCCACCTTGGTGAAAACCATTGGAGGACGGGTTCCTGGCAACTGGTTTCTGTGGTGCTGCGACAAATGCTGACTATATCTACTTGTATGTTTGTTGTTTAACCCGCAGTCGACAATATTCCAGCCATATCACCCAGAATAGATAGCAGGAGGTCTTGCATTACATTGTACTTACGTGTCTACTTTGACGTCATAGTTTCATAAGGCCATGATTCATAAACACATGCTCATGATATAGTCTGAGTCGCACAATCTACTCTGCTTTATGTGGAGATTTCTATTGGATGTGGAAAGGGTTTTGTCGCTTTATTTATTTGGAAGCCTGTCCTCAGTTGAACATTTTCTACTCCCATCTATATTGTATTGCGACGGCAGAGCTATTTGGTAATTTCAGCTCCAATAGACATTTTCCCAACATTTCGTTACTATGATGTATACCCAGGAATACAACAAACGTCATTTGGGCACAAATAATGGGCTTCGCACATCGTAACAGTTTGAGGATTCGGACCCTGATCCTCAGCGTAACGAGCCAACCATTAGGTTATACCTTCGTCCATTCGAGTGGTAAAAAATAATATCTACAAAACCCAACACAATATCTATATTTACTTTAACCTCTACTGTCAGTTTTCAAAACATGTACACATATGTCATTCTTGCAGCTTCGTATAATTGTGCTGCTCCCCAAAACGATTTGATGTTGACGTGCGGCTACACAGAGTGTTTTCCTAATAGAAAACCCACATCAACAACAGGGAACAATAGAGCCTCATGACTTTTATTATGAAAAATATATGAAAGAAGATACACAGAGCACAGGTAGAATGTTTTTGTTGTTTAAAGTCAGGGTAACATCCAGAGTTGAATGTGTGTATAATTCCTGAAAAAGGATTCAAATCACATATGCAGTAGCAAATTCCATGAAATTGGAACTTATCCCTGCATGATACCCAAGTAAAGATCGGGGCTTTGTGTAAGATGTCGGGAGTGACAGCGACGCAGGAAGCCGAACAACGCTCCGCTGATGGTGCCCCAGCTGTCCATGATGTGTTCAGGGCTCTGTGTGTTGGAGGCTACGGTGTCACAGTCGGCGTTGGCGCCTTCTATATACATCGACCGGAATGTGGCAAAGGGGTAGGCTGTTGTATTCCGAGTCATGTTGATGTTGGAGAGACGTAGTTCTGTCCTTTCGACGAGGGGGAGGAGGGTCATGGTTGCCGTTCCGCCGTCAGCGTACACCACGTCAAAGGTCAACGCTGCCGGGTCAATCTTCAGCTTGGTGATTGGTGCACTTGGACGAGCCTCTATATTACTTTGTCCAACAACGATAGAGGAACCAAACGGGATCCAATCGGTGCCATCAGGAGTGGTAGGAAGGAGTCTTACATTCCCATCTTCGTACAGAACCATAACTTGGCACCAGCCACCGGACCATGGGATTGGGACATATACCTGGATATAGTGTGTTGTCCAAGTGGTCGTAGACGTGGTCAGTGACACCTCCATTGTCTCGTTCGTCCTCCACCAAAGGTCTTTCGTTACTCCGTTAACCACGACATCCCCTTTGTAAATGGTGACAAATGTGTCTCCCTTCGTTTCCCGTGTCTGCAGATAGAACTCGTCGATGTTCACGACATCACTCTGGTTTGATACTAAAAACAGGAGAAGATCGTTAGAGGTTTGTGTCCAAGTGAAATCAGGAATGGACCAGACGTATGACGGATTGTCGGTTGAAAATCTGAACGTATTCAATTGAGTGTACCCATTGGCGCTTCCCCCTTTATACAGAAGGGTGACACTTGCTGCACCGCCTATTCCACTTAGAGTTAGGTGGATGTTACCTCCGATCTGAGGGTCTGCCAGATTGACGACTGAAAATGCTGTTCCAATCTGGAGTGTCTTTGTCCCGTCGGGGTTGACAGTTTTAGCTTTCAGGTCTAGGGTAGCCTGGACTGATTGCTGTGCGGTTCTTGACAGAGACGCGACGTCAATGTTGGTGAAGTTCCAGTAGACGTCACTGGCAAAACTGCAATTGTCAAAATTCGGGGCTCTTTCATTTTTGAATGAGTGGTATGCGGGGAGTTTGGCTGCGACAACATACTCGCTGACTGAATTATGGAACACGGGGATAACGACGTTGTCTTCTTCGGCACAGGCGGTCGGGTAGCTTTGCTGTGAAATGTAGCCCTCAGGGACAGAACCCGCCGGAGGACCTGTTAGAGGCAACACGTCCTGGGAACAGGGATATTTGCAGAGATAGATATCAGAGTTGAGATGCTCGTCGTCGATCTCCATAACAACCCTGTCTATTTCCACTCCCCAGAAGTCAGCCGTCTCGGCCCGAAGCACCAGTCTGTGAATCCCGCTGCCTGCCATGATGCTACCCAGAGTACCCGTGTAACGGAACACATTCCACAGACGACCAAAGTCTGTTCCTGAAGCCGTGTTGAACTCGCCAACGACTATATTGTCAAACGTGACGACGACTCGGTCAGGTCCCCCGTCATTGGAGAACACGATATCTCGGAAGGTAACATTCGTCTCTTTCATCAGGCAGATTTGGAAGATGAGACTTTCTCCCTGACTGATATGCGCCACTTCTTGTTGAGAGGCAGCCAATCGTCGGTTGACCTGGTGACTACCCCGGGTGAGTTCCCCCTCAAAGGTCCACTGTAGAGCTGATGCCTTGCTTAGCACCAACACCACTGTAACCAGAACCACCCCTGCTTTCATCGTGTCCCTAAAATAAAAGAGTTCATTCTATTTATTTGTTTGAAACGAATTGATATGCGTTTATGTTTGACAAACCTATCAGAAATTACATTTTTAAATGAACTTTATTCAACAAGTCGCAAAACATCAAATTTTAATGCATTAGCGAACCAAGGTAGTGTCTATGTGGTACAAAAACATGACGAAAAATACACAATATATACCCAAGGCCACTGGGTAAGCAGATATCGGAAACCTAACATGCGAGATAAACAAAATGTATTATGAACTTATCGTATCGTATGAAAGAACATCTTCAGAGTTTTAGTAACGACTGAAATATTACTTGAACGACATGCTTTTGTATTGGAAGATTGAGTAATGTCCTGATAAAAAGAAATCGTAATATTAGTACTGCACTTCTTCTATGATGTTCCCTGTATCTATTTGAATTCTTATTAAATAAAAATATAAATATATATATTTAAAATTATAATTACACCGCATTGTTCAACATGTGTGATCAAAGTAGAACATGTATGATCAAAGTAGAACGTGTATGATCAAAGTAGAATACATTATATCTTATTATGAACACTATGCAATTATTCAAGTTTTAAGGTTCGCATTAATTAAATGAAAACATATTTTAAAAAAGAAATTATAATATACATACCTTTTCCTGATCTGTTCTTGTCTTTCACTTTCAGCACAAGCGATAGAGCAAAGCGTCGACAAAAAGCCGTACCACCACCACGGCAGATAGAAATAAAGAATGGGTACGAAGACACTCCCCTTATATAACAGTTGAAATCCAAATAGGGCACACAAGACTTAATGTGAAACATTAACCTTGTCACATATGCAAATACAGCTCGTTTATTCTTTATAGTAGAATAAACACGCGTAAATAGTTGAAAGGAGAGGCCTATACAGAAAAAGCAATTTGTACTGGGTTTGACTATTTTGAAGCACCGTGGCAACATGCAATACCTAGGACGGGTGCATCTCAGTGTTGCGATCATTATCACCTGTAGTTACATGCATTTCCGTCACGTGTTACAAGCACTGTTTGGGTTGATCAACATGCAGATCTGTACTATGGTTACTCTTACGTATTACAGTTACTCTGTAGATGAATGATGTGCAAATATTTAATATAGCCAAGGCTTTCAGATTCACACGCCGTCTAAACATATCACCTATATAATCATAGACAGAGTTCGATGTCAGGGATTGATATTCAAAACCGGGTATCTTATATCTCCCCTTACTTTAAACCATGGGAGTTTAAGTATTTGAACTTATAGCTTAATATTCAATGTAAAAAATCGCTCATATTTGTCAGCTTTCATGGGATTCGGGACTTTATTGCTGTGTCCGTGTAGGTTGCCATTAATATGAAGCAAGGGGGGTGGGGGGGGGGGGGGGGGGGGGGGGGGGGGGGCACGGGTGGCCCAGTCGTCTAATGCGCCGCGATTCGTCCCCTGGGCACGCCAGAAACCTATGGTTGTGGGTTCGAATCCCGGTTCGCCCCGATTATGTTTCTAGGTTTGTCAGCACCATATCCGTGCTCGTGGGTTTCACCGAAGTGGTAAACGTCTGAGACCTGCATCACTTTGGGCTTTCCTCCCACATTTAGCTGACTCGCCACGATATAACTGTAATGCTGTTAAAAGCGGCATTAAACCAGACTCACTCACTCACTCATATGAAGGAGCATATACAAATACCATCAATGTTTTTTGGTTTTTTTGGTTTACAAATGTAGGTTGGTATTTTCGAAACAACCGACACACACACACACACAAAATCATTTCCCTTAGCTTATTCAAGTTTCAAAAGACATAGAGCATCGTTGAGAGTAGTTCCGTAAGATGTATGGGAATTAGGTAGCCTAGATACCGCATGGTCGTCGTGAGAACCGACTATAAAGTGGATCATGTGAATCACGTGTGACCCATTGAGTGTAATATGTCTCTGTGGATGTGTCAGCTGCAATTGTACCCTTGTGTATGTATCATGCTGGTATTGTACCTTGGTGTTCGTATCACGATGTGTATTGTGTTCTTGTGTATGTGTTATGATATGTATTGTATCCTTGTTTGTGTATACACTGTAGTAAACAATGTGTTAAGGTCCTAAACATAAAGCAAAACACGTCCCTTGTCTAATTTATGACATATTTAAGGTTTAGGACGTAAAACTGTTCAGGATCTTCTTGGCATGTTGACGATTGTGTTTAACAGCTATAAGTGTCTAGGGTCTAAATGTGAAACTCGTATACCAACTTTGAAATTGATTGTAAGTAATTACAAAAAAATGTTTTTAGCGTTTAATGGGGATGTGTGTGTGTGTGTGTGTGTGTGTGTGTGTGTGTGTGTGTGTGTGTGTGTGTGTGTGTGTGTGTGTGTGTGTGTGTGTGTGTGTGTGTGTGTGTGTGTGTGTAAAATGTTAAGGGCCTACTGTAGCAATCAGACATACTTTCATTGTCAGCTTCCCTTTCCTGTACGAGAGAAATACTATCGAACAGCTACAAAACATGTATGAACACAACTCGTAATAAACCACGGCGGGATAACAACCCGCAAACTTGCACGTTGTGGTCCTTCACTCTTCCTCCTGTGCTGCGGAGACACAGATGTCAGTTGTCATGGTCACCATTCACTAAGCGTGGTTTAGTTGTACATTTTGTTGTTACTGTTGCACCAGGTTTGTTGTAAGTCCTGCTGGTATATGTGCTATGCAAGTGTATGTAAATTCTAAACATGTTTAAACTCTAAACATGTTTTTGGGTTGTGTTTAGGTGAGTTCAGACGGCAGCTCATATCATGTTTTTAGACCTAAGTGTGTTTGGATACTAAACATCAAATGTGTATTCAGTTTATAATTTTAACACATTACTAGTGAGTGAGTGAGTTGGGTTTAACGCCGCTTTTAACAGTGTTCCAGTTATATCGCGGCGTGTCAGCTTAATGTGGGAGGAAAGCCCGAAGTGATGCAGATCTCAGACATTTACCACTTCGGTGAAACCCACGAGTACGGGTATGGTGCTGACAAACCTAGAAACATAATCGGGGCTAACCGGGATTCGAACCCACAATCATAGGTTTCTGGCGTGCCCAAGGTACGCAACTCTGCACAGCGAATCGCGCCGCCTTAGACGACTGGGCCACCGGCCGTGCCCCCTTAACACATTACTAAACTTGGTTAGATCTAAACATGGCTTGTATGTGTTTACATTATAAACACATTTTCTTCATTGGTAAACAATTTTTTCTGATGTATGTATTGTATTCTCAGCTGCCCCGATGACATGTGTAATAATGCCATGACGCCCGTAGGTTAGTACCATGATACTTACCCTTATCTGAGGTTAGTACCATGACATGTATCGAATCCAGGGGTATGTATCATCATACGTATCGTATCCTGGCTGTGATATTTTGTACTATGTCCTAGTGTAAACGCCTGTATAATGATGCGTATTGTGTCCTGGCCTACACGCCTGTACAATGATGCGTATTGTGTCCTGGTGTACACGCCTGTATAATGATGCATGTTGTGTCCTGGCCTACACGCCTGTACAATGATGCGATTGTGTCCTGGTGTACACGCCTGTATAATGATGCGTATTGTGTCCTGGTGTACACGCCTGTACAATGATGCGATTGTGTCCTGGTGTACACGCCTGTACAATGATGCGAATTGTGTCCTGGCCTACACACCTGTACAATGATGCGTATTGTGTCCTGGCCTACACGCCTGTACAATGATGCGTATTGTGTCCTGGTGTACACGCCTGTATAATGATGCGTATTGTGTCCTGGCCTACACGCCTGTACAATGATGCGTATTGTGTCCTGGTGTACACGCCTGTATAATGATGCGTATTGTGTCCTGGCCTAAACGCCTGTACAATGATGCGTATTGTGTCCTGGCCTACACGCCTGTACAATGATGCGTATTGTGTCCTGGTGTACACGCCTATATAATGATGCGTATTGTGTCCTGGCCTACACGCCTGTACAATGATGCGTATTGTGTCCTGGCCTACACGCCTGTACAATGATGCGTATTGTGTCCTGGTGTACACGCCTGTACAATGATGCGTATTGTGTCCTGGCCTACACGCCTGTATAATGATGCGTATTGTGTCCTGGTGTACACGCCTGTACAATGACGCGTATTGTGTCCTGGTGTACACGCCTGTATTATGATGCGTATTGTGTCCTGGCCTACACGCCTGTACAATGATGCGTATTGTGTCCTGGTGTACACGCCTGTATAATGATGCGTATTGTATGCTGTGGTTAAGAGGTATGATACCGAGGTGTATGAAAGTGTTGCATGCTGGGTAAGAATCATGTTTTATGTTGTATCCTAAGGGTACATGGTGGTTTGTTTCTGGGGTACATATCACAATACGTATATTTTCTGCGATAGACTACCGAAGTAAGGAGCATTTCCCGAGGTATGTTTCATGATACGTCATGTCGACTGTGTATCAGACTCGGTCGCTTGGTTGACGGCGTATACCGACGGCGAGCGACGTTGTTTATAAGATCAATCACACGATTTCTGGTCCAGACTCAATTATTTAAAGGCACCCATCATAGACAGGAATATTGTAAGCAAATACACAATCCCGCACGCACGCACGCACAAACACGCACACTAAAGAGAGGTTAGCCAGTCTGCTAATGAATTGTAGGCTATCGAATATCACCACTGATCAGAATAGTTGATGTTATATTTTGTGACACGTGGACATGGATAATTGTGATCACATATGATTAACAGATACAAGAACCGTTTCCATAAATATAAGTAATCTCCATTGTAAGTCCATTGTACGTTTCTGACAATATCGGAAGCACGTGTTAATGAATCACTATCAATTGGTGATGATGCCAGGTGCATGTAAGCTATATGCATGTGTGTGACCTTATCTGATCACAAAGACGGTGATCCTTTTTTATTAAATCCAAGTAATAACAGTTCACATTAATCTCCTTAAACAAACAAGTTATTTTGCCTTTAAAATATACATTAATCAGAGCTGTCATATAATATAGTGTAAAGTTTCAATATTAGTGTCCAGTATACATAAATATAAGAGTGAGTGAGTGAGTGAGTTGGGTTTAACGCAGCTTTTAACAGTATTACAGTTATATCACGGCGTGTCAGCTTAATGTGGGAGGAAAGCCCGAAGTGATGCAGGTCTTAGACGTTTACCACTTCCGTGAAACCCACGAGCACGGGTATGGTGCTGACAAACCTACAAACATAATCGGGGCGAACCGGGATTCGAACCCACAATCATAGATTTCTGGCGTGCCCAAGGGACGCAACTCTGCACAGCGAATCGCGCCGCCTTAGACGACTGGGCCACCCGTGCCCACCCATAAATTTAAGAAGGAAATATGTTTGTATAAGTAGTCACAGGTCCACATTCATAAATATAAACGCCATTTTTTATTAGTAGGTTTGGGGACTTCGAATTGTAACAAGTTTAGATTTCGGTGTTTTTAATGTATATACCGTTTAGATAGTCACACCTAATCACACATAATCCTGCACCATATCTGTGGAATCAGCATCAGATAGAACAACATAGAGGAGATAAATGAACTTTGGAATAAAACATTATAATAGACTATGTTAGTCGAAGCTACTCACTGCTTGGGAAACTGGTGAAGATATAAATAAAATTCATCGTCGCAGTGTCTCGTGTCCTCGAGCACTGGGTCAGACCGGGAAATAGGTTTTCATTTTGTTCGTAGGTGAAATTATCAGAAGCAGACAAAAGAAGCTTGTGGGGCAGGATACGATCACCTTTTCACGAACACCTGGTACCATGACTATTTGATAGTGATTCATAAACTCCTGTTCCTGATATGGCCAGAATCGCACAATGGATTTTTAAAGTTTTTTTTATAAATATGGAAAGTTTTTTTTGCTTTTATTTACACAATATTCCTGAATCCCTATGGGCGGACGGACATGTGAATCCAGTAATTAAAAATAATAGGCCTAACTAAGACTGCAGAGTACGATAACCATTACTGACAGTCAGACATATAAGTTCAACAACAACATCCATGTCAGGCCTAGGTGCATACGAAAATGGATAATTTCCCAAAAGTAATAGGAACCTAAATCACAAACAAACTAAAAACACTGTGTTAGTGAGTGAGTGAGTATGGTTTTACGCCGCTTTGTAGCAATATTCCAGCAATATCGGGAGACACCGGAAAAATTGCTTCACACATTGTACCCATGTGGGGAATCTAAACCGTGTCATCGGCGTGACGAGCCAACGCGTTAACCACTAGGCTACCCAACTGCCCCCACAGTGTTGGTAACAATGAATGATACATTGATTGATTCACCCTGAAAGAAGAACGTTTTATGTTATTTGTGCTCAATTCGAACGCCGTGTAGCTTTGAGGAGTAGGTCCGTTTGGGTATTGTTGCTTATAACCTGTTGTTACTTCGGAGACGGATTTTCACGAATTCATAACTTTGTCACACCCCCCCCCCCCCCCCCCCCCCCCCCCCATATCCCCTCCAGCTTATACTTTACTTTGGTAAGCTGTTGTTTAACGCCGCAGTCAACAACATAAATTCGTGCTATATCACGCTGCCATGCACGTCGAATTTGTACCAAATGAACCAGTCATTGAAAGCACGAACATTCGAGGACGATATACAATCAGCCGTTACAGAGCCTGGCCACAAGATATGCAATCCCTTCAAACGACTAGCAAAAGATCCCAAACGCCGATTCGTCCCCGGACTTCCAATTGAGGTGTATTCAATTATCAAGAGGATAAAAAATGCATTCCATCTTTATTTGCTGAGGTGACGGAATATAACATTGCTAGAGCCCTGGGTCTCTCGTTTGGTGGAACTCTGGAACTCTGAAACTCTGGAGCTCTGGAACTCTGGAACTGTTGATCATATGCCAGAATGTAGAAACCAAACGATGCCTTGTCGTGACACCATGTTCCACTGAATATTACTGTATGCATTTCGGAATAGTCCCATTTGCAACAATAGTTATATCAAGCACTAAAAACACAAGGCTACATACCTCCCACGGGGACACTTTCTGACTGATACGACCCGGTGCGTTTCTAGAGATCCCAGGCCTTTGACTGCAACGGTCTGTCACCTTTCACTCCTCTCTAAGTTTCATCCGTGTTACTATATATATGATAGACAATGGAGTGGGGTGTTGTATCCCTGACTGCAACCGGATATTATCTCACCCCGACAGCTAAATTGATCACTTAAAATTCCACAACACTGCGCGAAAAGCCAGATTGTATACCTTCAGAATACAGGCGAACTTGACGGATAATGTATGCCGAATAGAATTTGTGTGATGTAAGGTAAATTAAGTATGTCAAAGCCATTTCGTCCATGGCGTTATTGCTACCATAATGTACATAGATTTAAAATAATTACAATTCTACAATCACTTTGAATATTTTGTTATATTCGGATTTCGCATAAAAATATTCAGAATGAATTGTCTAACAGTTGAGTCCAATGACAACAATAAAAAGAATAACATCACGCAATTAACACAATACGTCGCCTTCAGCAAAGTTCTATTGAGAGGCGACACTGAATACATTTGTAAGTATTATATATCTTCAAAGGACAACGAGTAATGCGTATTGTAACCTACCTTGAATTTGAGGGTCCTTTCTCGCATATATTGCAGGGACAGTGCTTAATAGGGTTACCATTTGCGCAAGTAATCAATCTGGTCTATGATTCACTAATTCCTTTTTGTGATCATATTGATTTATCGATAACTGAAAATTCTTTAAAAATGTTATTTCCGTATGCCTGTACAGACTGACAACTCTTCCAGAGACACCTCGGTAGACGAGTACCAATGAAGATTTAATTTACAATTACAGTAAAAGTTCTGGGGAACATCCCCAAAAGGGAACTGAAAATAACAACATATTTCACCATAGCTTTTTAGGGGACACAAACACAGCTTGGCATAATTCGAATCTGAAATTATGAATTTGTTAATAGTTTTATTTAAAAAAGTTTAAATCTGTTCAAGCCAAAGGAGACCATCATCTTCTCATGTAAACACGAGTACTCTTTTAATCTTCAAAGATAAAATTTTATATTATTTATAGTATAGATCTATTTTAAATATTATATTATTCACCTGATGAAGGGAAAAGAGGTGACACTGAAACGTCATGGTAAGATTTTAAAGAGTTTTATCTACATCGCATCACATCTTCATGGTCAAACGAGTTCCAAATGCGAATCAATGACCAAGTATTATTTAATATGAATGTTAGTGGAAAGGATGTTTGTTTTATTATATTGCCTAAAAATATCAAAGTTGATGAACAATTGCAAGATGCTACGAAGATCTGTAAACATGAGGAGATCTTTAAACGTGTACTTTGTAGTTTTATTTTTCAATATTCCCCTAACATTTAAAACCATGATACACGTATACAAACAGAAAAATCTTCAAATTCAGGTCGGTTCTGGAGATATCGAATATTGCGAAATGTCTGAATAAGATGGCGGACTCTACAGGCCATACACAAGCAGACCCGTACAAAGCAGAGATATCACAAATGTATCCCTATCATTGATCAAACCCGGATAGGGTCTGTGGGGTAGCCTATTGGTTAAAGCGTGTTTAAAACACGGGTTCGATTCCCAACATAGGTGAAGCCCATTTCCGGTGCCCCCGCCGTGATATTGCTGGAATATTTGCAAAGAGCGGCGTAAACCAATACTCCCTCACTTAAAATCGGATATCCTACAAAAACTAATGCAAAAAGCAAACCCGACACTACCGAGCCTACTCATCAACGGCACTTTTTACATTGTTAGCCTGGTCAGCCATTAAATTAACTAAAAATCATGTAAATGTAACTAAAAATCATGTAAATGTAACTAAAAACCATGTAAATGTAACTAATGTAGATGTAACTAAAAATCATAAAAATGTAACTAAAAATCATGTAAATGTAACTAAAAACCATGTAAATGTAACTAATGTAGATGTAACTAAAAATCATGTAAATGTAGCTAAAAATCATGTAAATGTAACTAAAAACCATGTAAATGTAACTAATGTAGATGTAACTAAAAATCATGTAAATGTAACTAAAAATCATGTAACTGTAACAAATGGCTGAACAAGTACACACCTTATTACATTTGGGAAAAAATGTAAAAATATGCAACGATATCAAAGTGTAAGCACTTGTTTTTGCTTCGTAGAAGCTACACCTCTCACTACTGGACATATTTCTTACAACTGTCACAACAACCGCCGAGGAAGATGAGGTGGACATGGCGTGGCCATGACAGAGGGTGGGGATCATGGCGTGATTTATTGCATGCTTAACACTTGAGAGCGGACTGCACTGATATGCCACTACGTACAACCAGGTGCAGTGTGTTGATGTGTTGATCACACCGGTGTATCCGTCAACTGTTCTAGGATTTCCTTTTGTTCAAGTACGCGTCCCATCATTCCCGATTTGGTATCGTAAATATTTCTGTCGTGAACCCTCGTCTGTTTACTTGTGTATGCAGGAGAGACATGGGATGCGGATATAATTGTATATGGAGATATAGCCACGAGGTCGACGAATATTATTCATGCGTGGCTTTATTCGTGACATTAAAACCTTATTTTTATACGAACCTATATGTGTCCAAATAATTACAAAAAATATATTTTGAATGTTTATTGCAATCACATCAACACGGATTTTGGTAAAGAATTCCTACACCAACTAATACGAAAAGCTACAAGCACTATTTTATCTTTATCTTACGGAATCGAGTTTGAACTAGATAAACCAGTGGTTGATAATATGAGCAATGTCTCACTCCGCCGTGACCTATAGGGCACGCAGTTAACGAAGGCACCCAGCCTGACTGCCCAATCCATCACTCCAAACACATTCTCCCCCTCGTTTCCCCATGGGCTTGCATACCAAACCTTAACTTTCTAACACGGAACTCTATCCGGGTTGTCGTTAAGTGAGTGAGCCAAGTCGTTATCAGTATACACCGTTTGATCCATTGTACCAGCTTCCGTACATCGTGATGGGCGGCATGTGTTGGTAAGTCTACAATCTCGCTCAGCGGCCTGTAAATAATCGAATCTGGACCGGACATTCTATTATTATGAGCAGTGCTTCACGCTGTCGGGGTACGTTTACATGTTATCAACCAAGTCATCGAGCCTGACATCGATCCATTAAGTCACGGCGGGGCTTCACACATTGTACCCATGTCGGGAATCGAACCCGGGTCTTCGGCGTGACGAGCGAACGCTTTAACCACTATGCCACCCGACGGCCCCCGCCTCTTACGATCAGCCTGGGGACCGGTCTAACCCCGTAAATGCACTGGTTCCCAATGTAATCGCCCCTAATCACAAATAATGGCGTGCTGGGGAAACTTTCCACCCTTGGCCCCAACGGGCAAACAAGCGTATGGTGTGTAATGGGGCGTCACTCAAAGCATGCATGTTAAACATTTCCCCTTTGAAATAGCTTCCAGCACATGGCTGTATGATGATAGATTGGACCAGTTGCATAAATGTCAAGCACCATTAACCTAGAACCTAGAACCTTAGAAAGTAAAGTGCCGTGCAAAAGAAAGTATACACTTGAAACTGGATTTGATAAAAAAAACTTACAAACGTTATCAAAACGGTACTAGGGCACCGAAACACTGCACACTTGAGATCCAAAACAAAATTATAAAATACATCCCCGTCAAATTACCATTTCTTTTTTGTTTCATTTTTAGCCACCGTCAAACATGGTTGTATACTTTCTTTTGTCCGGCTGTAAATCTTATTTAAGTGAACAACGCGCGTTTCATAAAAAAACGTAAAGTTGCGTGTACATCTTCGGGGCACGCATAAAGTCCCACGCATACCTAATAACACTGCGTCATTTATATTTTCACATGAGATTATGCATACGTGTTGTGCAATGTACGCTTCAGGTGGACAGTGCTTTATTATGCCAACGATGTGGGAAATGTGACGTCAGATGCAAAAGGCGTTAACAACAACGAGCCCAAAACACAACCATCCCTGCTCTGCTGTTATTAACGACCAATGTTGTAATGATGTGCACCTTCCTTGAATGTTTTTTCTCAATTTCAGGTCGAATGAAGACACTTGCAATACACGTAATTCCCGCCTTTCCCATTCTGGATTGTGTGATGTCTGACGTGTCACAACAAGGACACACACGTCGTCTCGGACACATCCAAACATAACATCATATCCTGTTGATGTAGACAAGACTCGAGCGCAATACTGCTGTTACCTGCAATAGCACAGCCAACTTGATTATTTGACATTGAGCTGCGTATTATATTGGCGGTGATTATTTTAGTGCTTGTCCGAGATCGCAATGTTATTGCGAATGGTTCCGAATTATATACGAACGGAAGAAAGTATGTGTTCGTCAAATGAGGTTCCATAAGAATACATTTATTCTGAATTAAAAAATGCATCTTTTAATACATATTCATGAAGACAATTCTCACGTGCATGTTCATGCAAGGCGCACAATTTGGATGTTTGCTTGTTCGAAGGGAGCATGATTCTCGCACACGTGTCTATTTGTGAACAGCACACAATATTTAGCAATCAGGTGCTCATAACAACACTTTTGTTTGACCGTAATAACGCTTACGCAATGTCACGGCTTGCTGAACATCAGCGTCCACGCTCCGTGGGTATGCTGCAAATAGGGAGGCACAAAATGAAGTTGCCAGGGATTTTAATATTCACCGAAAAACGATATCATCTCTTTCGTGACGTTATCTACATGAGGGCAACACTTATGACGTCACGTGAACAAGGTTACCATATTTGGTTGATGCATTTACGGAATCGATACCAAATTGCCACATTACCAGCTCGGCCATTTCTTGAGTGGAGACCAATTAGTGGCAGAACCGTATGCAACCGGCTGAGAGGGCACAGCATCCGGCGCCGACATACAGCCATACGCCCAGTGCTGCTTCCACGTGACCGTCAAGCATGTCACGTTTGGTGAAGACAGTATCTGAGGTTGAGAAGACTAGACTAGACTAGACTAGTAAACTGTCCAGTGACGAGTGCAAGCCAGCTCTAATGGTTGCGCAAGCGTCTTCATGCGCCCAGGAGAACGTTTTAGCGACGCTTGCGTTACT